ATATGAAAGTATTCATAAACAAAGGTATGATAATAAGAAAGAAATTTTTGGTTTCTAGGTGTTTACAGGTGTTACATCACTATTATTACGGAGGAATAAATATAGGTCGAGATGAGAGGATAAGTACTCGATATATTGTAAAAACAAACAAAAATACGCCCTTCACATTTTTTTTGCACAATGAAAATCTCTTTTTTTTATGTTTTTTTTCTGCTTTTGCAAAAGTACGAAAATTGATTGTTTTTCATGTATTTTTTTTTGTCGTAAAAATTCAGGGTAGTAATTATTTTTCAAAAAAACAGAAAAATTATAGGGTAAAATTAGTTTTGAAAATATTTTGAAAATATTTTTAACAAATGTTTTATTGAAAATAAATTCAAAATAAAAATGAGTAAATAAAAAGTAAAAGAAAAATAAGTAAATAAGAAGGAAATTAAAAATAAGTAAATAAAAAGGAAAATAAAAGTAAGTAAATAAAAAGGATAATAAAAATATGTAAATAAAAAGGAAAATGAAAATAAGTGAACAAAAAAGGAAATAAAAAGGAAAATAAAAATAAGTAAAAAAAAAATAAATAAAATTAAATAAATGAATAGAAATAAATAAAAATTAAGAAGTACATAAAATAAAAATAAAAGAAAGACAAAATAAATTGACAAGAGTAATTAAAAAAATAAAATAAAAAATATAATTAAACACTAAATAAAAAAAAAATAAAAAAAGACTAAACAGTTTCGCGGGGAAATTTCGTATATTAAGAACTTTATTCAGAAATTCTTTTATACAGTCAATAATAATTAAGCTTTTAATTTACTATTAATGAAGTTACACCGAAATGATCTCGTTACTATTATTAGCACCGATTTTTGTTTCATTACTTTACATATACATATATATTTATGAATATTGAAAATATTGCACACTTGGAAAGTAATATCAGAATCAAGTTTCATGTACTTAAAGTCGATTAAGTCAGGAGATAATTTTCAATTAACCTTGGCGTCTGTTAGCTCGAGAAAAGAAATTCTCATTATCTTTGTTTGAAATTTATAGCAGGTCGCGGAGAATCGATGCAGTCGTTGAGAGAGAGTAAGCGAGATATGCTAATTTTTTAAATGACATGTGAAAATTCAGTGAAAAACAAACAAACAAACAAACAAATTACAAAGTTTCAGTCAATTTTTAATTAAAAATTTGTTCTAATTTATAAATTTAATGCACTTGAAAAAAATTTATTTTATTCAAATAAACAATCGGTTACTTGAATCAAATAAATTTCTAAAATTTATTTAATTCAAAGAACCATTTTTTTATTTGAATCAAATAAATTTTTGTACTTGTCTATTATCAAAGAAATATTTACTTGAATCAAATAATTTTTATTGGTGAATTATTTATTTGTTTTAAATAAAAATTGTATTCTACATAAATATAGCATTTTATTTGAATCAAGTAAAATTGTATTTGAACCAAATAAAATTTATTTGAAACCAAATAAAATTGATTTGAAACCAAATAAAATTTATTTTAAATCAAGTAAAATTTTTACAAATAAAATTTATTTCATATTAAATAAAAATTTTTTCGAACCAAATAAAATTTATTTGAAACGAATAAAAAGTCCATTTGGCTCTGAGTCAAATATATCTTTTCTCTGGGTGTTCAAATTTAATTGACTTCAATAAAAATTATTTGATTCAAGTAAATATTTATTTGATGATAGCCAAGTAATCGTTTATTTGAATCAAATAAATTTTTTTCGAGTGTAATTTTAACAGAACTTACAAATTTTTTGCAAATAATGACAAATATTCGTTTATTTATCTTAAATAAATTATATTTGGTTTAAATAAAATTTTTTCCTAGTCTGTAGTATTTTAATTAATAATTATGAACTTGAGTAGAATATTTTAAGACCAAAAATTTGTGTTTTTTTGTTTTTTGAACACCAAAACTGACTTTTTTTCGCAAAAAAATTCGGTCCACTCGAGACAAAGAATAATAATCTCTTGAAGATCAATACTCCAGAAATTAAGTTTTGATAAAAAATAAACAAAAAAAAAATGTTGTAATCTTTATCTTATACTTGGCCTTGAGAAGGCGAGAGGTAAACCTGTAATGAAATGGGTGTGCTGAATATAATAAGAGGTCTGAATAATTGGCATCGTTTGGAATGCTCGCTATTTATGATTTTAGTGCAAATGGCTTCACGAATCACTCGATTATTCAATTTCACATAATTAATAAGCCAATAATTTCTCTGTATATTTAACATCTTTTTCCTCTAATTTTCCTCAAAACAATTATTTATTCATTTCCTGGATTATTATCAATGTTTTATTTTTAATTTAAATTTGAATTTGAATTTTAACTATAATAAATTATAATTTTAACTATAATGGCAATTTTTTTCGAACGGTAAAGAAAATGAGTAATTAAAAGAAATCTCTGAAAATATTTTTTATAACAAAATGAAAAGAGAAAAGAAAAAAAAATTCAAAACTTATTATTTTACAAAAAACTTTAAAAGAAACTTGATTAAAAATTTCATTTTTTCCCTATAATATAAAAAAAAGTATGTTTCTAATTAACAAAGGGAATTTTTCCTTTGGGTATAGTGTCATTTTTTTAATACGCTCAGGGCAAATTTTTTTTTTCAGTTCGGGTATTTTTAGAAAGCCTTGGGACGTGGATATACTTAATAAAAAACTAGATGTTCATTTAAGACTAAAATTTTCACTTAAATTGACAGCTCAAAAACAATCTGCAGTTTTGTTTTAATCCGCTCATACCATTTTCGTACGTATATATAAATATTTCGCTTAATCATTTTATTTCACAATCAGCGTATAAATAATTAGTCCTGAAAAATGCTCCTTTTATTTTCATCAATTTCTTATTATAAAAAGTAAACTTTACAAGTTTTTTAATTAACCCAAAAAATAATCTGGAGCAATTTTTCTTTTTTTGCTTTATAAATGAACTTTCTTGAAAACAAATTTTTTTCTTCTAGATATTCTTTCAAAGTATTGTTACAAGTTTTTTTAATTAGAAAAAATAATTATAATAAGCAATTTATTAATAACTAAAAATAAGAATATAGTAAAAAAATGATAATAATAATAGTAAAAATTAAATAAATTAAATAGATTAAAATTATAATTAAAAATTAATTTATGCTTCACGGAAAATAGTGAGAACATAAGATTACGAAGTACAAAGTAGAAAAATGATGACTGCTTTATATGAATACTGGATGGTCATAAAATCCAGGCGTAAAAAATAAAAATATGAAATATAGACATATAAAAAGGAAAATAAAATTATAAGAATATGTATTGAAAAAAAGTCCAATGAAATTAACTCGTGTCTTAAATTAAAAAATTTGCCAACATCGTAATAAATTACCTTCAATTTGAAGACAATTTCTCATTTCGGAATTGTTTGAAGAATTCGTCAATTTTATGTTACGAAATCAGAGATAAATAATAAAATAATGATAGTAACAATTTTATAATGGCAACAATAATAATATTAAATATATAAAACAAAATAATAATAATAAAAAAATATAAAACAAAATAATAATAGTAATAATAGTAATAGAAATAATAATAATATTAAAATATAAAACAAAATAATAATAGTAATAATAGAAATAATAATAACAATAATAATAATAATGATGATAAAAATAATTATTTGAATAATAGTAATACATTGAAAAAATATTTATTCAATTCAAATAACCAATTACTTGTTTATTACAGTGAAAAAAATTAATTTGATTCAAATAACCGCGATTAGTTGTCTATTATCAAATAAATATTTACTTGAATCAAATAAATTTTATTCGAGTCACATAAATATTTACTTGAATCAAATAAATTTTATTCGAGTCAAATAAATATTTACTTGAATCAAATAATTTTTATTCGAGTCAAATAAATATTTACTTGAATCAAAAAATTTTTATTCGAGTCGAATAATAAAAAAATAATAATAAAAATAATAAAAAAATATTTACTTGAATCAAATAATTTTTATTCAAGTCAAATAAATTGTATTTAAATCAATAATTTCAGTATTTAAAGCAAATACCATTAATTGACTCAAATAAAAATTGTTTGATTCAAGTAAATATTTAATTGATAATACTCAAGTAATCGTTTATTTGAATCCATAATTTTTTCCAGTGTATCAAATTAACATTTATTATTAGTATAAAATAATTTTTATTTAAGTTAATTAATTAATTAATTAATTTTCTTCAAATATTGAAATTATTGATTTAAATAAAATTTAATTCACTTAAAGAGAAATTTTTTGATTTAAGTAAATATTCATTTGATTCAAGTAAAAATTTATTTGATTCGAGTAAATGTTTACTTGGTTCATGTAAAAGTTTTACTTGCACCAAATAAAATGTATTTGAAACAAATAAAAAGTCAAGTTGGCTCTGGATCAAATTTATCTTTTTTCTGGGTGTAATAATAAAAAAAAATAACCAGTAATAATCATAAAAATCAGAGGAATAATAATAATAATAAGAGTAATAATAATGAATAACAAAAATAATAAAGAAATATAATTGTAGTTGCAATTTAAATTTGCAACCGTGTCTCATTACATGATGAGAATGTGAAAAAAGCCTGGTTATAAAAAAAGGGGGACCGAATTTTTCAAATGCGTGTCTACATAATAAACATTTATCATTAAACGATTTATGGTGAACGCCCAAGGTATGATTATCGGGTTTTGCTCGAGATATAAGGTAGCCTAAAGACTAATGGAACAATCGTAAACATGTATATACCTGTATAATAGTGATTGCGAAAAAAGAGGCCCCCGCTAGAGTGTAAAAGTGCACATTTGGCGGGTGGGTCCGACGATAAAAAGATCAGCCCCCCCTCAAAGCAAAAAACAAAAATCTTTCAGCATAGTTTTCGTTTTCTGTTTTTTTTTTTTTTAACTGTGCGAAATATAAATGACCCACTTTTTAACGAACCGGTGGGCCCTTGTTCTTTTTCGCGGGTGGGGCCCCCAAGTGTAGGAGGGAGTGATGCCCCTCTTGTCCTATAACGTCTTGCATAAAAGCAAGAGTTTTTCAACAACTGTCTCACAACCCTTGATTCTTTACACATAATCAGGTCAGAATTACGAGTCAATTTTTTTTCGATAATTTTCGAAAACTAATTTTCTGCTTATTTTTTCGGAGGGTTTTTATTTCAATGGGACAGTGAATTAAAAATTTAAAAATTATTATTAATTAATTTATAGTGTCGGTGATGTAATGTTGCAAGTGATCGAAATTTTTTGTCCTGTGATTTTTCGAAAAAGTGGATTATATTCGAAAAAAAATTTAACAATACCTTTTGGAAATATTAATTAATAAGTGAATTAAATTTATAAATTGTTAACTAAATATACTAAATATTCTTATTTCATAATACAAAATATTGAAACAATATTTAAACTTTGAAAATTTAGAAAAAATTAAAAAATTTCTTCTTGTTTAAAAATAATGTAACAATTGTATAATACAGTGAAACTCTTGTTATTGAGACACAATATAATTGTTTCATTTGTCCCAGTAATAGGGGTTTCACTGTATTAATAATTTACTTTGAATTCAGATAAAAAAAATATTTGGAACACAGCATTACTTAAGTGGTCACTTTGAGATTTTTTCAATTGATAAAGGACCGTAAATATAATATTTAATTGATAGTCATTATAATTAATAAGTGTAAATTGTAAAAAAATATTAGCTAACAAAAATTACTATTTATTAAAAAAATATTAGTTAACAATCCAAAGAATTATTCGTTAATAAAAAATTGTTAGTTAACAATCCAAGGAATTATTAGATAATAAAAAATTATTAGTTAACAATGCAAAGAATTACTACTTGATACAGAATTATTAATTAACAACCCAAAGAAGTATTAGTTACTAAAAATTATTAGTTAACAATCCAAAGAATTATTTGTTGATAAAAAATTATTAGTTAATAAAAAATTATAAGTTGATAATTGTAAACTATTATTAGTTAACATAAAATTACTAGTTGATAATTGTAAAAAATTATTAGTTGAGAATTGTTAATAATTATAAATACTTATTTGTTTTCCGGTCCAGTAAAAAGTCTCATCAAACAGTTGACGCTAAAAAAAAAATTTATTAAGGAAATGCGAATTTTTTTCATGTAATGAACTAATTTTATTGCCATTAACAATAAATCACAAAGTCACTGTGGTTGAATTATTAAATTAACACCATTTAACATGTTGTACCTTCTGTATCTACCGAAGAAAGAATCGACCTTGAAGAATAAATATCGTGATAGCATCAAAAGTAAAAGTGACACGTCGCAAAAAAAAGAGGGCGCGGTCCAAAAGTGAGGCTGTTGAGATCCTCTTAACGCTCGAGTTTTTCGAAAGCCAATCATAAACATCATCAAAGCGTGATATGCAAATTTCAATAAGTTAATAAAAACCAAAAAGGAAAAAAATTAACATCTTCAATTAAATTACATAAACGTATAATTAAAGTAAAACTTTTTTATTACCGATACCAGTGAATTTTTTTCGGTAATATTACTGGTACCAGTGAATTTATTCACTATTATCCGTTATATTAATGGTCTTAGTGAATTTATTCAGAAATATTAATGGTACTAGTGAATTTATTCAGTTAAAATGCTGGTACTAGTGGATTTGTTCAGTTATATTGCTGGTACCAGGGGATTTATCAAGTGTCATGAATGGTACCAGCAAAATTATTGAGTAAAATTATTGGTACCAAAAAATTACTTGAGTATTATTGCTGGTACCAGAGGATTTATCGAGCATTATCAATGGTAGCAATAAATTTATCACGTTGTGTATTTGCTACCAGCGAATCTGTGGAGTTGATAATTAGCACTAATATGTTTCTTGACTATTATCACTGGTACCAGAGAATTTATCTAGTAATATAAATGGTAGCAATAAATTTATCCTTTTGTGCGTTCGCTACCAGCAAAATTCATCAACTAATCTTAGTGGTACCAATAAATTACTTGAGTATTACTGCTGGTACCAGAGGATTATCTAGTGGTAACGATGGTACTAGCAAATCCATTAAATAACATGATGAATATTATCGTCAGTAGCAGAGAATTTAAAGACTAATATTATTAGTACCATTGAATTTATTGACTAAAACCGCTGGTACCAGAGGATTTAACGACTAATATCATTAGTACCAATGAGTATACTGAATAATATTGCTGGTACCAAAGAATTTATCGAATATTATTCCAGGTACCAATATTTTTGTTGAATGCTAATTCTGGTACCAGAGGTTTTATCAACTGTCTCCAATGTCACCAACAAATTTACGACTAATATTAATATTCTAATCATTAAAAGCTAAATTACTAATTAATAAATTAATTACAGTGAATAGAAAAAATAATTATAGTGTAATTTTAGGATGAGACTATTCGTGATATTGGCAGCGATGCTGCAGGTTGCCTTCGGGGGTGTTTCCATAACAATGCCATATCTTAATCCAGCTGGTGTGACCTACGTCAATGGATATCAAGGTCATGGTGCTCCATTAACCTACGGCGGTGCTGGCCTACAGTACACTGCCCCCTTACAATATACAGCTCCTGCAGCAATTCCAGCCAATGTTGAAGCTCATCACGTTGGCTATGCAAGAACTCACGTTCCCGCCGTTGCCGCTGTTCCTTTCGTCAAGCACGTACCAACTGTTTCTCAAGTGCCAATCACACGCTACGAGGCGCATCCCGCAGTCATCGAGAAGCAACTTGATGTCATTAAACCCGCAGTATCCACTCGTAAATTTGAAGTAATTATTCATTACCTTTCTATTATTACTGGTACCAGCACATTTATCAAGTATTATTTATGGTACCAATAAATTTTTTGAAGTATTGCTGCTGGTACCAGAGGATTTATCAACTAATTTCAATAGTATCAGTAGATTTATCGAGTAATACTATTGGTACCAACAAATTTATTGACTAATATTGTAGATACCAATAAGCTTCTTGACTATTATTGCTGGTACCAGAAGATTCATCAAGTGCCATCAATTGTATTAGCAAATTTCTTGACTAATTTTGTTGGTACCAATAAATTTCTCGAGTATTATTGCTGGTCCCAGAAGATTTATCAACTGGTTTCAATGGTATCAGCAAATTCATCGAGTAATATTATTGGTACCAATAAGGTTCTTGACTATTTATGTTGGTACCAGAGGATTTGTCAACTAGTTTTAATGGTATCAGTAAATTTACCTAATAATATTATTGCTACCAATAAATTCTTGACTATTATTCCTGGTACCAGCGAATTTATCAAGTTACGTAATTAGTAACAATAAGTTTCTCAAGTATGGTATCAAAGCTGGTACCAAAGGATTCACCAAGCGGTATCACTGGTACCAGGAAATATATCGAGTCAGTCCAGTCAGTAATGAAAATCATTAATCGACGTCAGTCGATTAATGATTTTTATTACTGACTGGACTAACAAATTTGTTAATAAGACTTTGACCCTCAGGTGCGGCGACCAGCAATTCAGAAGCAATTCTACGACATCGAGGAACGCGTGATTGTTCGACCAGCAGGCTCAGCTTTGGTCGAGTTAGATGAGCCAACCTCGAAGAAGCAAAAGGGACCAGCTGTAGTGCAACCATTGCACTCTGGAGAAATTCCCCTTGCTCATCATTCCTACGCTTATGCCACTGCCGGTGCACAAACGTCATTTGCACCCAGTACAATCCCAGTGGTTGCTCATGCTCCCGTTCATTTAACAATTGCACCTGTTCTATCGCATGCACCAATTCAAGGAGCACCGGTACCAGTGATTATTCCATCATCGACACCAGCACCGGCAGCATCGCCAGCAGCATCAGGAGGCACTAAACCCGCTACAGCATCAGAACCAGGCAGTGAGGAGGAATCTGTCGTCATTGAGAATGAGGATTTCCGCAGTGCTCAATTTCGCACTGGACAAATATACAATTCACCATTGACGGCTATTCAACAGCAAGATTTACTCATTCGACAGGCTCAACAACGTGATTATCAGGCTTCGACTAATCAGATTCAAACCGCTCAGTCGCAGTTTCAGCAGGCGCAGATTCGAGATGCGCTCGCTTTTAGACAGCATCAGGAGCAACAGCAGCAGCAGTTCGAAACACTATTGCAAACTGCACGATTTGCACAGGTTTGTATTTTTGGATATATAATTAGAATTGTGATGATGGATAAAGCGTGTTTTATTATTGGTACCGAGGGTGTAATTCGGAATGTTATTAATTACTTTGGTATGGTACCGTTAGATTAATCGAGTGTCATCGTTGGTATCGTGGGGTTTATCGCTGGTACCAGAGGATTTATCTAGTGTTATCAATAGTAGCAATAAAATCCGCTTTTATGTTTAGTACCAGAGAATTTATCTATCCGTTTAATTGGTACCAATAAATTTCTTGAGTAATATTGCTGGTACCAGAGGATTTATCAACTGGTTGCTATGGTACCAAAGGATTTATCGAATGGTATCAATGATAACAGACGATTCATCCATTGGTACCAGCGGATTTATTGAGTGGTATCAATGGTACCAGCTAATTTATCAAGTTTCTTAAGTGGTACCAATTAATTTTTTGACTATTATCGCGGGTACCAGGGGATTCATTGAGTGGTATCAATGGTACCAGCTAATTTATCGAGTTTCTTAAGTGGAACCAATTAATTTTTTGACTATTATCGCTGGTACCAGGGGATTCATTGAGTGGTATCAATGGTACCAGCAAATTTATTGAGTAATATTATTGGTACCAATAAATTTCTTGAATATTATCGCCTATACCAATGAATTTAAAAGCTCTAAATTTTATTTTTCAGGAGAACAACAAAATTTCGGCAGAGCCTCAAGTAATTGCTCGATCCAATGGAGTACCACAGGATGAATCATCCGGATTTGTTCCAGAATCATCAACAGTTGTTCCTAGCATAAGAAACAGTCCTGAAGAAAGCATCTCCAATCAAAATAGACTTATCGAACTTCTTACAGCTCGTGGGGGTGTAACAGAAGTATGAACCTAAGAAAACTTCTCCTCCTCTTAATAATTAAGAAATACTTGTATATTATTTTCGAACAGACTAATTATTTAATTAGCTTTTGTAATTTTTAAAAAGTATCTAGTCTTAATTTAATTTTAATTCAATTTTGTTTAATTGTAATTTTAATTTTAATTTTGATTTGATTTAATTCTGATTCAATTCTTAATAATAATTTTTTCCCTCCCCAAAGGTCGACTTCAATCGTGAGAAAGCAAGCGGAGAAATAAAAGACTCTGGCAATGTTCGTGCTCGTGTACTTTCAGTGACACCTGCACCCGATGACGCCGAGCCAACCGGTGAACGTGTGTCAACGAGACGAATTGTGGTGAGTCGACCCATTGAAACACTCCAAGAAGTCGACTTCGTGGAGCCAGCGACAAAATATGAACGTGTCTCAATTCAAGAACCAACTCTCATCAAGACAGCTCATTTGGATCATGTACAAGTTCATGGCTCAATTCCAGTATTGGGAAAAGCACTCGCGCCAGCCGTTGCTGAGGCTGATGTACCTGTTTATCAAAAAACAATCTCTCCCGCCTACCAATACTATCACTAGAGAGAATAAAATAAATAAAATAAAATAAAATTCAAAAATTGAGAAAAAGAAAATCAACAATAATTTGTGCTATATATATATTGTATATAACGAAAACTTTTTATGTATCACCAGCAGAAATAAACTCGTTAATAAATTGTTAATTCGCGAATGTCGAAACTATTTAAAATTCAAATCTTACTCTATTTAGAACTGGTGATTATGGAAATTAGTATGTGTAATATCCACTGAAATATTTTCAACTCGTCGTAAACAATGTACTGAAACTTATTTTCCATGTGATGTTAAATTGGAGATTTGTAATAAAATTTTTTTTTATCTAATAATTGTCTTGTTTTTAGAAACTCTCATCGGCATTTTTTTGTGATTTTTTTCAATTATTAAAGTTTACTACTTTTACTACTAATTTTTTACTAGTTTGTTTACTTTATTCCTTTTTTTATCAAATCTTACGGAAATTAAATTTTTTTTATCTTTATTTCAACAAAAATTGTCGAATATAATTTTTATTTAAATTCTTTTCATACTCTACGAACTATATTGATTACTTTAATCCCTTAGAAAATAATGAGAATTATTCTTTAATTAAAAAATAGAAACAAATAAAAAATAGAAAAATAAAATAAAAATAAAAAATAAATTTATTAAAAATAAAGTCAGAAAATTACAAAAAATAGAAAAAATAAAAGTTGTAAAGAAGTAAATTCCACTTTGAGAAAATATACAATTATTGAAGTGCACACAATGTGAAATTTTGCTCAAGTATACCAAAAATTACTTCTGACAAATATGACATAAAATCACTTTTGACGAAAATTTTGATATATTTAATATAAAGCCATCTAAACCTCAAACACTTCCCACTTCCGTCTTTTGTCAAGCAAGGATAACCGCTCAAGTGTCGGTTCATGTTCTCTGAAGGTTGTAACATTGACCCGGATACTGTATCCATTCTCCCATCCCTTTCGATTTCGATCAAGTGAAAAGTCTTGTAAGCAAAATTCACTTTGATGATTAATTTCTTTCTGAATCAAAGAAGAAAAAAAAATATCTACATTTTATTTTTGTGTATCAAAATATTCGCGATACACTTCGAACAAATTAATATAAGTTAATAAATTATGTTCCCTTTATCAAAATATTTTTTAATATTAAAGAATAATCATGTTCATTAAATTGAGTATTAATAAATCGATTAAGATTAAAGATGATATTTGATATTTTCATTACATAAATTCAGACTCAATTTTTTTTTCTCTTGAAATAATTATTTTGTATTATTTTATTATAAATTATTTTTCTGTCGAAAATAATTTATAATAAAATAATACAAAATAATTATTACATATTATTTTATTACAAATTATTTTCCTACCGAAAATAATTTATAATAAAACAAATATAAAATAATTGTTACAAGAGAAAAAAATTGAGTCTGAAAAAATAATTATTTCAAAAGAAAAGAAGAGTTAATTAAAATAAAATTGCTCGGTTCTAATAAACAATTTTCTGAATAAATAATTTGAATAAATATTTGAACTGAAGAATTTTTATTATTATTTTTAATTTATTATTGAAACCATTATAGTAATCTCTCGATATAATTAAAATTTCGATGAGTAGAATTTCTTGATAAATTGAAGTTGATTTCGGATGCTTTGAAAAAATTTTGATACTGAAAGCATTCAATAAATAAAACTCTTGGTAATTTGAGTTTTTGTTTGCAAAGTCCTTTGAGATTGAATTTATCGAGAGTCGACTGTATTTCGAATTAAGTAATTTAATTATTTATTAAATTATTTATTTTGATACCATTATTAATATATTATTAATTTATTAATTATATATTAATTAAGTATAGATAATAGAGTGGTTTAAGTTAAGGTCCTTTCAAAAAACTTTAATTATTAATTAAGTATATTATTAAGTATATTATTTATATTAGTATATTGTTAATTAAATTGTTTAAAATTAATTTTTGAATTAAATATTTCAATTTTTTGAATTTCGCGCCAATACAGTTTATCAAATTGCCGCCTAGAGGGCACGAAAATTCTCTCACAAGCGAAATGAAACAAGTAGACGAATCATGGTGGAGATAAAAAATTGTTTCGTTTGAGTTATAAAATGAATATTATTATTAATTTTTTATTACAAAAATAAATGTAATGAAAAAATAAATAAAATAAATGTAAATAATTTTCATCAAAGGGTAAAATTATAATAAAAATGAAAATATATAATAAAAAAAAAATTGCTTCTGGAGAAGATAATGTACGTGATTGACAAAGCATAAGCAAAGCCCTTGACTTAGTTTCAAGAAGGTAACCGCCCTTCGTTTGAAACAAGATGAAATATCTCTTAGGTCTACCAACCAATTGAATCTAAGGCATAATCTCAGTTGAACTCGTCAGGTATATGAGCCAGGCCACCTGATTTCTATATAAGAAACACCGTCACGGATCGTGCATTCAGTTTCCTACCATTCAAATATACACACCGGAGTTAATTCTAAGAAGATTGATTCATTTTTTTTTCTAAATTTAATCAGTGTTTTTAATTTTTATATTTTAGGTGAGTTTCAGTCGAACATTGCGCCAAAGTGACACGAAAAATAATCGAAAAGTGTGTGCCATACATATTGTGAACCAAAATGAATGAAATATTTTCAAGTGTTAATTATAGTGAATCCCCCTTCGCCAAAAAAAATAATAATTTACAAACTCTTTACATCCTGTTACTAAAGTAAAAAAAATTGTTTCTTAATTTTAAAGGAGAACAATTACAGAAGAATTTTTTTCCCAAAGGAATAATTATTAAACTAGTTAATTTCAAAGGAGTAATTATTAAATTAATTAATTTCAAAGGAATAATTATTAAATTAATTAATTTCAAAGGAATAATTATTAAATTAATTAATTTCAAAGGAGTAATTAATTAATTATAAAGGGAAAATTAATTTTAATTAATAATAATCAGAAAAAATTATTTCCTAAGGGATTTTCAAATGTATTCTTCAAAACATCGGTTAGAGAAGAAATAACAGATTTTGATTAAAAACAAGTTTTAAACATTGATAATCTTCAATATAATTTGAAGAAAAAGACAAATTTCGATTATCTAATATGATCTAATTTTATAGCCTCATTTCGATCGTGTCACGCGCTTATTATTAAGTAATTCCCAAACAGATTTAGAAAGTTTTTAGATCAAGTCTGTTATTAGTTTAAAAAAAATAAAATTCAAGTTTCGTAGGCAAAGAAAGTTTCTCTTGAAACCCACGAGTATAGACCTGACGTGTGGCGGCTTACATTTTTATTAATAAATAATACGTAATGAATTTTTCTCTCCGATAGCATAATAGACACATAATAATATGACACGAAATACGAGAACTTAGAACAGAAATAAAAAGAAACTAGAGAAAAACTATTGAAGTCAAAAAGTAATAAAACAAAATTTTTTACCTAAAGTTTTTTTTTAGTTATAATTAAAGAACTAAAATGTAATAAAACAAAAAAGAACTTAATTTTCTATTAAGAATTCTAAACATACTGTAATCAATTAAAAGAATGGATTTAATTTTCAAACAAATAGTTTTGACTATGTATAAATTTTCGAATAATAATTTTTAATAAAAATAAGTAATAAAAATAAATGTATAAATGTAAATTAAGACTTGTTTTAATTTCCGAATGAACAAAAGAAGTACAAATTTTGAATACGTGCAAACATTCGTTAGGCATTATTCAAGGATGTTATACTTGCTTGCCTTTCGCTGGCAGAGAATTTGAGACAAGGGCATATCCGCTTCCTTATTTGCCAGCAAAATGTAACCACTACTGTATGGTATACACACTGTCTGACATGACAACTACATTTTACACTCGTATTTCAACTTTTCACACCCATTGAAATAGTACAAAAATGATAAAAACCACACAAAATAAATTACATGTCATGTGCAGAAGAAATTTCTACTTCAGAGCATTTACATAATGTAAAGTTTCATTTTTTATTTCTAAGCACAAAGAAAAATATTTAAATTTTATAGTAAACATTGTTTACTTAGAAATTTGGAAGCATTTGTAAATTTTGTGTCCAAAAGTTTCAAATTTAGAAGAAAATATATTTGATTAAAATAATTAATTACTTGCTTGACTAGCGTTAAACAAATATTTATTCCAGTGGTATCGTTGGTGACAGTGTTAATTTATCAATAAGTATTATCATTGGTAGCAATCAATTTATCGAGTTGTAGAAATGGAACCAGAAAATTTATCGACTCATGTTACTGGTATCAATAAATTTATTTAGTTTTATTGCTGGTAACGTTATACTTCTTTAGTATTATTGCTGGTAACAATAAAACTTCTTTAGTACTATTACTGGTATCGAGAAACTATTTAGTATTTCTTCTGGTATCAGTGAACTTCTTTAGTATTATTGCTGGTACCAAAGGATTTATCGAATAGTATCTATAATATCAATAAATTTACCAAGTTATATAATTGGTACCGAAAAATTTATCGAGTAATATTATTGGTACCAATAAATTTCTTGAATATTATTGCTGGTACCAGATGATTTATCGAATAGTATCAATAGTACCAGCAGATTTGTCGAGTAATATTATTGGTACCAGCAAATTTAATGAGTAATATTATTAGTACCAATAAATTTCTTGAATATTATTGCTGGTCCCAGAGGATTTATCAACTGATTGCTATGTTGTTGGTACTAATAAATTTATTGAATAATATTATTTGTACCAATAAGTTTCTTTGACTATTATTGCTGGTACCAGAGGATTCATCGAGTGTTATTAATTGCATTATTAAATTTAATGATTAATTTTGTTGATACTAATAAATTTCTTGAATATTATTGCTGGTACCAGAGGATTTATCAAATTGTATCAATGGTACCAATAAATTTACTGAGTTGTATAATTGGTGACAACAAATTTATCGAGTAATAATATTGGTTCGAAAAAATTTCTTGAATACTATTGCTGGTACCAGAAGATTTACTCTTTGGCATTACAGTTACTAAAATATTTATTAAGTTGCATAATTAAAATCAACTAAATTTGTTGAGTGATAATATTCGTACCAATAAATTTCTTGAGAATTATTGCTGATTTAATTTATTGCTGATACAATTTATTGAGTAAGATTATTGATACCAATATAATTTGTTGAATATTATTGCTGATATCAGAGGATTTACCAAGTAGTATCAATTATAGCAGTAAATTTTACGAGTAACATTGCTGGTATCAATAAATATTTTAAGTTATATCGCTGGTACCAGAAGATTTACTGTGGCGTTGGTATGAATATATTTCTTGAGTATTATTGCTGGTACCAGAGGATTCATTTACTGGTACCAATGGTATCAGTAAATTCAACGATTAATATTATTGGTACCGACAAATTTCTTGAGTATTATTGCTGGTACCAGAGAATTTATCAACTGGTTACAATGATACCCGCAGATTTTATGAGTAACATTACTGGTACCAGCAGATTCATTTAGAAATATGATTGGTACCAACGAATTTCTTGAGTATTATTGCTGGTCCCAGAGAATTTATCAACTTTGGTTGCTATGGTATCAGCAAATTCATCATCACCATCATTGGTACCAATAAATTTACTAAATAATATTATTTGTACCAATAAGTTTCTAGACTATTATTGCTGGTACCAGAGGATTCATTGAGTGGTATCAATGGTATCAGTAAATTCAACGAGTAATATTATTGGTACCAATAAATTTCTTGAGTATTTTCGCTGGTACCAGAGTATTTACTGTGTGTCATCGTTGGTACCATTCGATGCACCATTTTCTGTATGTTATTAAGAGTGTTATTTAATTAAAAAATAAACTTATTTCAGATAAAATGCAAAAGCTTTTCATCATTTGCATTCTAATAGCAGGGGAATGCTTGGCTGCACCGCAATTTATTATCGAACGATCATCATCTTTGTTCAGTCATCCTGCGGTTGTCGTTAATTCCGAAATGGAAGACGCTTTACCAAATGAATTGAGAAATGATTTTTACAAAAATCCTCTCATTGCTGCTGGCCTGGCAAAAGAGTCTTTGCTCACGGGGAAAGAAATGCAGGTACAACTATTTATTAGTTTTAAAAAAATTATATAAAAAATTGTTTAAAAAATTGTATAAGAAACTTATTTCAAAATAACTAAATCGTCAATTTTGTATAGAATATTTTATTTTATTTTAATATTATTTTGTTTTTAGGTGAACCATCGTGATGCCGATGATATTCCCAGAGAACGAGTATACAGTATTCTCCATAATGCTGGTTTCGTTAGAAGATAATACGACAAAAAAAAATAAGAATTCAACATTTCCACTATCCATTATAATCGCAAACTCCATTTAAAGTATTATTTATTATGCATTGCCATATTATTATCTAATGTCGAAAATGTCAAATACATTTTTTACTACACAATGCCATATACATAGAATAATTGTAGTAAATCAAAATCCCCCAAATAGTAGACGAAAATAAAATTTCAATACTTTACAATTTTTCCCAATGTAATGTTTTTTTTTATAAACGATTATTGTAAATACATACATTTAATTTTACTATTTCCGTTAAATTTATTTAAAATCCCCTATTATATCTTAAAACTAGAAATTGAAATCTGATAGTCCGCAAATATATACCTATCAAATTTTTATAGACTGACTTTTGAAAGGAAAAAGCGAAAACTTAATATTCTTAATGTAAAATGAAGACGGTGGTAAAGTGAATTTCTACAAACTGCAACCAGACGTTCAATCCAGTTAGTTTGAAATCGTATTTTCAGGAAATAACGGTAATCCAACTAGTATATAAACTTGCTAAATGAACTTCATTTGCCTCGAGTATAAAATGTTTCAGAACAATTTTAATAAAAATAATTTTTAAGGATCAATAACTTGTTTAATTATTACCTAAATTTATCGTTTATTTATTATTTATTAATAATTATAATTTTACAAATATAGAAAATAATTATCAATATATACTAGTATTCCCAATATTAAAATCTTTTTTATCTGTTTACTTTTTTTATTTTCCATTTAAATTTAATTATTTTTATTGTATAGTATTTTCTATTATTGAATAATAATAATCTAATTATTTCAATTAATTATTATTACCCAATTTGATTATTCTTAAATTATTAACAATAATAATAATTATTAATATGTCAGACAATTATTATAAAATGTTAATTTTTAGCAGATTAATATTATAAATATTATTATTAAATATTAATTATTATCAGCTTTCACTATTATTAATAATTATTGTTATCAGGTTATTATTATTAATAATTACTGTTATCAGGTCATTATTATTGTTAATTATTTTTAGCAGGTCATTGTTTTTATTAATTATTTTAGCAGATTTTGATTATTATTAATTACTATAAGGGTAGTATTATTAATTATTGTTAGCTGATTATTATTATTAATTAATTTGAATTTAATGAATAAACAAGGTAATGAATAAGGGTTTTTTTAATTAATTATTGTTATCAAGTCATTATTAGGTACTATTATTAATTATTCTTGTCAGGGTATTATTAATAATTATTGTTATCAGGTCATTATTATCAATTACTATTATCATAATAAATATATAATAATTATTACCACCACGAATTAGTGTTATTCAATAATAAATATTATTACCATGATTTAATAGTTACTTCACATTAAACAGATTTTACGCATGAATAGAAAATAATTCTTGATAAATAATCAACGAGTATTTATCACCTGTAAAAGCTTTCTAAAATTTCCTTTCCCATAGAATATATATATTATAGAATTTTTCCTCTTCTTAAAAGTTACATTCTTCAGAAAGTCAATGATCATTTTCACCGTATATTATAAAAGTAACGATTGAGGAAGAGCAGGCAATATAAATTTAATGTCATCCTTAATTTTTGCTAAATGTGCCGCAAAAATTGCAGATTTTTTCTTCCTAGTTCTTTGATTTGTTTGTTCATTTCGTATTTTAATTTTTAATATAAAAAGTATTTTTAAGTATTTTTATCTTTTTTATCTTTTGTTTTCGTCGAATTTTGACTTATGCTCATTTTTATTTTTTGTTTATTTTTTTGAGTAAATTCTTGAAATTTTTGTATATTATAGTATAAGTACTGCGGGATAATAGGATGTAGACCTTAGTCTACATCCTATTATCTCACTCTTAAGTGAGAGCGTCGCCAATGTTTGTCGTCTCACAAGTTTATAGTTAAATCTGTGAAAAGTATATAGGAGTCGAAGGAAAGTAAACATGGTACATAGAAGGAAGTTGAAATCCTCGATAATCCACAGCATTGAAGCGGGGGCGACAGCTGCACGATCTTCTAACTTGCACACAAATAATGGCAAAATGAAAATAAATTTTTATATACCTTCATATATTTACATAGAAAATTATTTAATTATTATTATTCTATTTTTTAATTAAATTATCCATTTTCTTGGTAAAAAACAAGTGTATTATTGAAATAAAAAAATTATATTATTATTTTGTTATTTTATAACGCAATATATTATTAATTTTAAATGAATTTAATTAGAAATATGAAAAGAAACTTAGATTTAAAAAAAAATTTTTAAACTAAAATTCTTCTGAAATTATAGTCAAATTTTTTTAATATATATTTAATTGATTATTAAAAATAATGGATTTATAGAAGAATTTTAATTAAAAACACTAAAACAAATTGAATTTTGAAAATCAATTACAAATGATTGAAGAAATTCAATTATTTTCAAAAGTAGTAAAATTTTTCTCAGAAATTCAATTATTTTCGAAAATTTTAATAAAATTCTTAGAAAAATTGTAATTATTTTCAAAAACTTTCCCTCATTCAATGATTTTTAATATCTACTACTTTGATAAAAATTCGTAAAAGAATTCAATTAGTTAAAAAAATTTTTAATAAAATTCTACGCAAACATTTCATTATTTTCATAAATAATAAAAATTTCACAGGAATTCAATTATTTACAAATTATTTCCATATATTATTCAATTATTTTCATAAATAATAAAACTCAATGCTGAATTTCAATTATTTTTAATACAATTTTAATGAAATTCCTCGAAAAGTTATTATTCTTAAAATTTTTATTAAAATTTATTAAAGAAATTTAATTATTTTAATAAGCTTTGCTACAATTTATTTATTAGAATTTAAGTATTATTTTTAATATCTTTTTAATTAAATTTCTTAAAAGAATAAAATTATTTTCAAAAATTTTAATTAAATTCTGTGCGTAACACTTCAATTTTTTTCAAAATAATTTCAATAAAATTCCTCGCAGAAATCGAATTATATTTAAAAATTTACAAAAATTCTCGTCAAAATTTCAATTATCTTTATAAATAATAAAATTTTTCTCCGAAATTCAATATTTATTTAAATGTTCATACGGGGGAGACAATAATTTTTCAATGCATTAATTGTTTCATCAATTAAGTAAATAATTAAGAAAGAAAAAAAATTAAGAAAAATCAATTTTTGTTGTCAAATTCAATCTAAATGGATTTTTAGAGTTCTTTTTTTGTTATTTATTAATTTTTTTTTTTAAATAAATTATTTTTATTTTTATATTTAAATGAATTTATCACTTGGTAAACATTATATTTTTATTTTTATTTAATTATATATTTATTTTTTTTAAATAAATACAAAAATAAAAAAACCCTAAAAATCCATTTAGACTGAATTTCACAATAAAAATTGATCAGAATTTTAATTTCGTTTTGGGAGAATTTTCCAAAGAACTTAATGAATATATGGAAGCGGTTTTCGGTAAATGAGATAATTTCCACTGAATTATGAGATCATTTTGTCCCTATTGTAGCAACTGGAGTCAACTATGTGTGTGTGTGAGTGAGTGTGTATTTGTAATGCTATTAATGATCATAGAAAAGCCATTCGCATTTGTGATTATATGGTGAACAGAAACGCTTGCCTGCATTGTCTTCGAGTGATTCTTGCATTGACACATGTGGTCCTACATCATAGACGTTGCAATTATTGCATCAGCGAAGATGAAGCTCAGATTGTCTCTTTTGTCCGAAGAAATTCAGACTTACCTTTCCCTCACCCAGTTTAAAATATAGAAATTTTTATTTTCGTTACAGAGAACATTTTTTTCACTTATCAAATATATAAATTTTTAATATCAACTTTTAATTTATTCCATCATGAAAGAAGCTTAAAAATTGAAAAGTCTTTTTTCCCTTTCGCTCTATTGAATTTTTTATTTTGCTTTCGTTTTTGCCTCTCTTCCTCGTTTCGAAAAAAATAGTATTAATAATAAAGATAAAATAATAATATGAATATAAATAAAAGAAAAAAACGAAAAAATAGAAATAATATGAGTCAATAACAACGAAAATAAAGAAATAAAAGAGAAAATAAATATATTCAGAAATACTTTTCAATTTCTCTTACATTGCAATTTTCTTTTCTTCTTTTTTATTCCAAAGAAAAAAAAATGTAAGAAAAAAATAAAAATTAATTTGAAAGAAAATACAGAAATAAAAGATAAGAAACTAAAGAATTATTATATTAAATGAAAAACTAATTTTTTGTTTTTAAAAATAAATCAGTAATTTTTTTTTATTTTTTACTATTTTAATTTCCACTTCTTTCTTTATTTTATTCCAAAGAGAAAAAATAATAAGAAAGTGAAGAAATAAAATAAACGCATTCCAAAGAAAATGAGGAATTATTGTAATAATAAAAAAATTACTTTTTCTCTTAAAAAATAAATCAGTAATTTTTCTTCTCTTCTAGTATTTTAATTTCTTCTTTTTTTATTTAAAAAGAATTTCAATAACAAAGTGAAGAAATAAAATAAACACATTTCAAAGAAAATGAAGAATTATTATATTATATGAAAAATAAATTTTTTTTTACACTCTTAAAAATTATTAAACTAAGTTTAATTTTTTCTACTTTTTTAATTTTTTTTCTTATCATTCAAAAGAGAAGAAATAACAACAAAGTGAAGAAATAAAATAATCACATTTCAAGGAAAATGAAGAAAGAAATTAAATTTATTTAACAGAAAACGAAGAAATAAAAGATCAAAAGGAAATACAATAACTAGTAATAGTTTTCTCCTTTCTATTATTTTTATTTTTTTATTTTAGAAAAAGTTACAATAACAAAGTAAAGAAATAAAATAAACACATTTCAAAAAGAAAATGAAAAATTTATTTTTTTCCTCCTCCAAATTAATCCAGTAAGTTTTTTCTACGATTTCAATTTTTTTATCATTCAAAAAAAAAAAAAAAAATAACGAAATGAAAAAATACATTTGAAAGAAAGTGAAGAAATAAAAGAAAAAGAAATTCATCTCATTGTTCTACTGAGATTATTCTTCTTTCTATTGTTTTGTTGTAAAAAGAAGAAATAAATTCTTTATCTTCTTCTTATTCTTCTTATTTTTTTTCTTATTTTATTTTTTTCTCTTATTTTTTTTTTATTTATTCTTCTTATTTTTTTTCTTCTATTCTATTAAAATAAACCATAAGGAATGAAAAAGTAGAAGAAAATAAAAAATATACAGATAAAAAAAACCAAAAAATAAAAAAACAAAATTTCATAGTTTTTGTCTCAAGAAAACTTTTCTATTTCAAGTAAAATATTTTCTCTAATAATCAGTATTATTATTGAGTATCTATTATACTCTCTAAATTTAAATTAGTGAATTACTTTTATCTTTTAAATTAGTAAATTTTACTAATAAATTAGTAGAAATTACTATTTATTAGTAGCAATAGTATATAAAAGAATTTATTATTTATAAGTAAAATTTTTAATTAGTAAAATTAGTAGTAGAAATTACTAATAATTAGTAAAAATTTTTAATAGTAAAATTAGTAGTAGAAATTACTATTTATTAGTAAAACTTTGAAAAGTAAAACTATTAGTAGAAATTACTATTTATTAGTAAAATTTTTTAATAGTAAAATTAGTAGTAGCAATTACTATGTATTATTAGAAATAGTATGTGTAAAAATGACTATTCATTAGTAGAAATAGTATTAGTAAAAATGACTATTTATACGTAAAACTTTTTTTAATTTTACTAAAAAAAGAGTAGAAATTATTATTTATTAGTAAAAATAGTATTAGTACAAATTATCATTTACTAGTAAAACTTTTTAATAGTAAAACTTTTTAATAGTAAAACTTTTAATAGTAAAAGTATTAGTAGAAATTACTATTTATTAGTACAAATTTTCGATAGTAAAATTAGTAGTATAAATCACTATTTATTATTAGAAATAGTATTTCTAAAAATGACTATTTATTAGTAAAACTTTTAATAGTAAAACTTTTTTTAGTTTTACTAAAAAATAGTAGAAATTACTATTTATTAGTAAAAATAGTATTAGTAAAAATAGTATTAGTAAAAATTATTTATTAGTAAAAATAGTATTAGTAAAAATGATTTATTAGTAAAACTTTAAGTATAGTAAAAATAGTATTAGTAGAAACTAATATTTATTAGTAAAAATAGTATTAGTAAAAATGATTTATTAGTAAAACTTTTAATAGTAAAAATAGTATTAGTAGAAACTACTATTTATTAGTAAAATTAGTATTATTATTAATTAAGAATAAATTATTTTTAAACATAATCAACTTTTTGTAGTATTCATATCACAATATTGCAAAAGTGATAAAACGAAATTAACTTGACTATTATTTGTAATAGAGTGATTTCCCTGAAATTGAGAGTGGAATGAACCTGGTCCTATATATCGCGTAACTGTTAACCTAGATTCAGAATAATTTGCGTTCACAAAATATATCGTCTGAGTTGATTGTGTATCCGTTCGGTTTATATACACGTATCTAGGTATAGAGTGTACTATTAGGATGCGTCCGGGAAAAGACATACTGTGGGGATGTACTATAAATGCGAATGGTGAATGCTGGATCCGTGCAGATTCTCAATTCGTTGTCCTTCGTGAAGCAATCTCGGGAAACGAGAACACAGTGATCTTGTCTAACTTCCCAAGCCGACTTACTCTCCAAGAAAACGATCGAGGAAAATCGTTTTAACGATCCACAAGCATTTTTTCTCTGTCTCTATCGTTTGGATAATAAACAAGGTTGGTTGTCTCCTTATCAAGATCACAATTTTTTTTTTATATATAAAGAACACTCTCGCGATAAGAAAACTAACAATTTTAGAAAAAAAAAGTAAATGACTGTTTTTTTCCTCTATTTTTTATTGCGAAGAAAGTGTTTTCAATTCTATTTAATTTTCTTATTCATTCTTTTCTTTTCTAATTGATAAAAATAATATTTTCTCGTATGCCGAGAATGTAAACAAAACAGAAATTGTTAGTAAATAATTTTCCTTCTAATTAATACCTACTTTTTTAATTTATTAATTTATTACAATAAGTTAAAAATATTGTATCGAAATTATTTTTTATTCCCTTTTTTTCAATTTAAGAGTTTTTTTTTTTGTAAATTTACAAGTGTTTTTGTTCTTTTACTTTTGCGCTCCAAGAAAAAAAAATAGAGAACATTTTTTTTTGGAATAAGAAAAAATAAATAGGAAAAAAATGTTAATTAGGACCAATTTTTCTATTTCGATTTAGAATTTATTAATAAGAAGAAAAAATAAGATAAAAATTGTTAAAAATTTTACTCTTTTTAAACAAATGAAAAACATTTTTTCATTTTAAGATTTTTCTAAAATTTACAAAAAAAATATCGTTGATCTTTTGCGTTGCAAGTAACAAAAAAATAGATATTTTTTTAGAATGAGAAAAAATAAAAATAAATAGAAGAAAAAATTGTTAATTACCAATTTTTCTATTTTAACTTAGAATTTATTAATATTAAAAAAAAAAATAAAATTCATGAAAAAATTTACCGTTTTTAAACAATTGTCGAAATTTTTTTCCTAACATTCTTCCGGCTTAAGGATTTTTTTAAATTTACAATAAATATTTTTGTTCTTCTGCTTTTGCATTACAAAAAAAAAATAGAGAAGATTTTTTTAGAATGAGAAAAAATAAAAAAATCTTAAGGACCTTTTTTTCTATTTTAATTTACAATTTATTGCTAAGAAAAAAAATTAAGTTAGAAATCGTGAAAAATTTTCCTATTTTTAAATAATTGTCAAAATTTTTTTTATTAACATTTGTTTGGTTCAATGTTTTTTTTTAAATTTTCAAAAAAATATTGTTGCCTTCCTTCTACTTTTGCGTTGCAAGTAACAAAAAATAAAGAAGATTTTTTATTAGAATAAAAATAAATAAAAAGAACAAAAAATTTTAATTACTTTTGGCTGATTAATTATTACATTAATTCGTTAATTATAAAAATACTAATTCTATTTTAAACCAGAATTTGTAAATAAGAAAAAACCTAATAGTTAAAAATAATACTGTTTTTCTAAGAATATCAAATTGAGACAAAAAAACAAAATTGTTGCTTCGCAACAATTTTGATCCATTTTTTGTCTCAATTTTGATATCATTAGAAAAACAGTGAACTAGAAAAATTTTCCTATTTTTAAACAATTGTCATTTTTTTTAAATTCTTTTAAAAAAATTTAATTCTTTTATTAAATAGACATTTTAAAATTAAACAAATATTTTTGTTTTCTTTTTATTTATGCGTTGAAAGAACAAAAAAAAATAGAAAATATTTTTTATAGAATGAGAAGCAAAAAAAAAAAAAAAAAAAAAACGATCGATCGATCTTTTATAGTTTCGGAAGAGACTGAAGATTTTATCGTGATCCAGTTGCAATTATCTGATGAAATAGAATTTTCTCGCAACGTCCTGAAAGTATCATCATTGCAAAATATTTAATATCGCTTTCCGAATGCAGAAAACAAGAATAATAAATAATACAAAAAATAGAAGGAAAATATTAACTCATGATGATCATTTCAGGGAGATGAATGTGATCCTTGTTGTTGCCGTCACAATTCTTGCTGTTGTTTCATCAGAACCAGTAAGTATAGTTATTAAATAGTTTATATTTATACAAAACGGGAAAAAATAAAAACAATTTTTTATTTCATGTTAAAATAGAATTTTTTTTTAATTACCAAAATTGGCTTAATATTTTAACTATATTAGTAGATTAAATATTAACAAGACATTTAATTAATTTTGGTCATAATCATCCCTTAATTATTCCAAATCGAAATCGGTTTTTGGGAATTTTTACATTTTTACACCAAATAAAAAGCGATTTTTGATATTTTTACATTTTCATTTTCAGTTTCGCATAGGAAAAGAATTTTGTTACTTTTCTATTTAAAAATAGAATTATTTATTTTAAAAAATTTATGTAATTATTATCAGTAAAATCGATGAAAAAACAACAGGAAAAAAAATAATTTTACAAAAAAGGGAAATATAGAAAAAAAAATGTAAAAATATTAAAAATTAATAAATTATTTAATTAAAATTTTATTAATTAAAATTTTCTAAACATTTTGAAATTTAATTATTTTTAAAAATTTCTACTTTAACGCTTCTAGTATTCAATTATTTTCTAAAATTTTAACTGAAATTTTGTTTCGAATCAATTCTCATCAGAAATTATTGTTAAAAAATAATTGACATAATAATTGAATGTTAATTACTAATTTTAAATCAATTTTCATCAGAAAGTTTTATGAGAATTCAATTATTTAAAATATAAAAAAAATAATTGATATAATAATTGAATGTTAATCAATAATTTTAAATAAATTTTTAACAGAAATTTCTAAGAGAATCCAATTATTTAAATATAAAAAAAAATAATTGATAAAATAATTGAATATTAATTATTAAAATTTTTGGAAACAATTTGATTCTTTCGAGGAATTGAATTAAAATTCTATTGAAAATAGTTAAACTTTTATAAACAAATTTTATGAAAAGTTTTGATAATAATTGAATTCTCTCGAAGAGAGATTCAATGTTTTGAAAATAATTGGATTTTTGCGAAGAATTTTATTATATAATTTTCAAAAATAATTGAATTCTTTTGAGAAATTACTAGTTATTAGTAAATTTTTTTAATAGTACAATTAGTAATAGAAATTACTATTTATTAGTAAAACTTTTAATAGTAAAACTATTAGTAGAAATTACTATTTATTAGTAAAATTTTTTAATAGTAAAATTAGTAGTAGAAATCACTATTTATTATTAGAAATAGTATTAGTAGAAATTACTATTTATTAGTAGAAATAGTATTAGTAAAAATGACTATTTATTAGTAATACTTTTAGTAGTAAAACTATATTAGTAGAAATTTTAATATTTGAAGCAAATATCATTTCGTTATTTAAACGAAAATTATTTGATTCAATAAATAAATATTTAGTTCACAAAAAACAATATTGTTTATTTCATTCAAATAAATTTTTTTAGTGTATTTTAGAGTAACTTAAAGTTTAACTTTAAAGTAGTGCAAATTCTCAAAAAAAAAGGAAAAGAGAGCTTTTAGTGGCCCAAATAAAAAAAAGTACGCAAATAGTATCAAATCGTAAAAAAAGTAGTAAATAGTAGATAGTAGGTTTTAGTAGATGAGTGCAAAGCATTATTTATATATATATATATATATATATATATATATATATAAAATTGCATAAGTCGTGAAGAGCAACTATACTGCACTCTATTTAGAGAGAGGCTCTCGAGGAGACTAAGAGAAATTGCACAATATTTATAGAAATGTGGTACATATAAGATTCACTTTCTACAATCACGAGCTTCTTGTTTATAACGCTTCTTCGATCAACAGCATCGAACGATTCACGAGATTATAATATAATTAATTGCCCACTCGCGGCTCGTAAATCGATTCTAATTTTACTTTTATGGAGTTGAGGAAGCATTAAAACACACATATAATAGTTTATATTATTATGTATATACAGAAAGTTAGTTAAAATCTTCATTTCCTTATAAGTTTTCTTTTCTCTTCTCTATCAAAAACATCAAAAAAAAAAGAAGAAAAGAAGAAAAAATTCTAAACTTTCCTGTCCATTTGTAAATTTTTATACTGTAATAATTTTAGATTACGATTACAAAAAGAATGTCAATTAAAATAATTAATGTTCCATTGAATTAATTAGGGGACATTTTTTTCTTATAATATAATATTAATAAACTCAGCAGGTGATTAAAATTCTAATTTGACAGATTGGCGACAGGCGGACGAGGGATGTGAAAGATATTCTAACCGATGGATCAAGTGATGAGAGGAATTCATCTCATTCGTTGAATGAAAATGAATCCGAGGATTATGATCAGAACAATGGACTGGATGCTGTGCCTGGTGTTCCTGGCAAGGATTATCCGAATTTCAATTTTATTCCGAAAACATCCTTCACGTGTTCTGATAAGAAACCTGGTGGTTATTATGCTGACATTGAAACACGCTGTCAGGTTCGTCAAAATTTATTTTCTTTCTATTTTTTGCTTATGATAATGTTCCTGAAGAAAAAAAATTATTCAATTCAAATAACCGATTTCTATTATTAAATAAATATTTACCTGAATCAAATAAATTTTTACTTGAACCAAATAAATAGTCACTTGGACCGAATAAATATTTACTTGAATCAAATAATTTTTATTTAAATCAATTAAATTGTATATTCAAACCAATAATTTCAGTATTTGAATCAAATATGAATTAAACCATTTAATTGACTCAAATAAAAATTATTTCATTCAAGGGAAAATTCATATTTAATAATAGACAAGTAATTGGTTATTTTAATCAAATAAATTTTTTTCAGTATATTTATTTACTTATTTTTTTTAATTTACCAAAATAAATGGGAAAAGCCCTTCCGTACAATTATCACTGAATTATTATTTATTTATAATTAACGTTCATTCATTATTTTACTGCAATATTTATGTAATCACCGTGCACTGTCCACTTTAGCAATGCTTTTTCTACTGAACCGCAGATTCCACTTTGTATCGTTCTTTCAAGTAGAAAAGGAACGTCATAGCGAGACATGCACCTCATTATAACAAGTGAAAAAACTTTCCCGCCAGGACAGTTAACATATATATATATATTTTTCAGTTAATTACAAAGTATAAAACTATTAAAAAATTCTAACGTTAAATAAAATTTATTCTTAATTAAAAGAAAATCCTCCTTGTAACACAAAGCGCTAAAGCGCAAATAAATCTACCCAACTTTCTCTGCAAAGATAAAGTACCACAATAATAAAGTTTTTAATTAAATTTTTCAAAAAATGTATTTAAAACGTCTGTAATAATTATTTATATTTCATTAATTTACTTAATATAATTTTGTTAATTTATCTTCATTTTCATTCAATACACTATTATTGTTTATATAAATATTTTTAAAAAATGAATATATTTAAACTAAATGAAAATAATAATTCAAGTCTGTTAATAATTGTAATCAATAATTTTATTATTAAATTTATTTTTAATTACACAGGAAAAAAAAGTCTGACTTCGTTTACACATTAAATTCAGCCTTAAAAAGAGGCTGAAAGTAAGACCTATTTTTTTTAGTGTGTATCGATAGAAAATTAAATTCTTTTTATTCATTTTATTAGAGTTTTCGTAAACAATTAAATTCTTTTGAAGAATTTCTTTCAACGTTTTGAAATAATTCGATTTGGTGAAATTGTATAAAAATCCTACTGAAAATACTTAATTGAATTCATGCAAAGAAATAAATAATTTATAAAAATAATTAATTGAATTTTTCGAATAATTTTATTAAAATTTTAAAAAAATAGTTAAATTTTTTCGACAAAATTTCATTAAAATTGTATTAAAAATTTGAAATTAATAATTTAAATAATTGATAATTAAAATACTGAAAATAATGAAATTCCAGTCAAAAATTAAAAACACTACTAGCCCAATAACACATCTTCATATCTAAAAATTTTTTTAAACTTCCAAATTCTTAGTCAAAAAATTTTTTACTGGTTCTTACTTACTACTAAAACAATTTCAATTAATATCTGGGTCATCAAAATTAATTTAATTCAGAATTAATAAAAAGTAATCACAGACGATAATCAGCAGAAGATGAAAAATTATTTTTTGAGCGAACTTTATCTTCTGTTTATTAACAATTGTTGGTACAAAAATTGTTTACTGGTCCTAAACTATTGCTAGAACAATTCCAATAATTATATGAGTCATTAAAATTAATTTAATTCTTTTGAAGAATTTCATTAAATTGTTTGAAATTAATACGTTTTTTTTTAATAATTTTACTTTAATTTTTTTGATGAATGTTATTAAAATGGACATTTTACAACAAATTTTATTAAAATTGTATCTAAAATAATTGAATATTCTTACAAAGAATTTCAATATTTGTAAAAATAATTGAATTTCACCGAAGAATTTTATTATTTATGATTTATGAATTTTATTAATTATTTCTAATAAGTTTAATTAAATTTAATTTTAATTAACAGAAAAAAAAATTCTAATTATTTCTTTCTTTGCAGGTTTTCCACGTTTGTAACGTGGGAGATGTGAAGAGTTCCTTTCTATGTCCACCAGGAAGTATTTTTAATCAAAAATATTTAGTTTGCGATTGGTGGTACGATTTTGAATGTGAGCACGCGAGTGATCTTTTTTCCTTCAAAGAAACTGTGAATCGTGAACGAACTGAGACAAATGTCAATAACGGAGACAATCAATTTTACACGAACAATGAAAATTCACAATTAAATCCCAGACAACAATTTTCATCATATCAAGAAAATAATTCCGTGAATGATGCGACTGACTTGTCACTCGCCGGCACTGGTGAAGGTGGTCTTGGCTATTCGAGAAATAAATCGAGTCGACAATTTGAAAAATCATCAAATTCACAAAAATCTTCGAACCAAATTGAACAGAATCAAAATTTAACGAAGCAATTTCCGAAAATATCGACTCCCGTCAATAATGGAAATAATCATTTTCAACAGTCGAGCGAGAATTTTAATGAGCAAAAAAGCAGAAATCAATTGAATTTCAGAAATTATCAAAATTTTAATAAGGAAAAATTTAAAACTGAAAATAGAAATTTTAATCGAGAAAACCGAAGGAATAATCAAAATGAAAATTATAATTATCAACAGAGTGAAAATGAAAACTATTATCAAAATGAAAATAGTAGAAGAAATCAAAATGCAAATTATGATCGAAACTATCAAAAAAACTATCAAAATGGAAATAATGAAAGAAATTATCAAAATGGAAATTCAAATTATCAAAATACAAAAACAAATTCTCAAACAACAAAAACAAATTTTCATTCAAATGAAAATAAAAATCCAAATGAAAATGTATTGAAAAATGTTGATAATAAAGAAGATTTATTGCCAAGAGGTTTTGCCGTAAATTACGGTAAGAATACAAATTCGAAAAATCAAATTCCCCCGAATAATAAACAAAATTTCCCCGAATCGAAAAATATTTTCACGACCCCATCAATTATTAATTATCTCCGCAAAGACGAATCAAATTTCCAACCAGAAGAAATTTACACAAATCCTTACGAATCAACAGAAAATTTGCGAAATCAAGAAAGTGAAGTGCAAGACGACGAGACTATTTTTACCATCGACGAGGAGGACGCCTTCGAAAGGCAAAGACAATCCGAAGTTGATAATACAATTCTAAATAAAAAATTTAACAACAATTTTGAAAGTACCGACGAATTTAATTTCGATTATGATACGGAATCAAGAATATTGTCCTCCGAGAGGCCACCAATTTTTGAAAATAATAATAATAATAATTACAACAGTGACAATAATAATTACAATAATAACAATAATAATTACAATGACAAAAACAATAATTACAATAATAACAATGACAAAAACAATAATTACAATAATAACAATTATTACAATGAAAAATCGAATTCACATTTTTCAAGCAACGTCAATTTGAAAGCAGAGGAAAATTCGGCGAATAAGTATCGAACTGAAAGTACTAATGGAGGGAATTCACATCGGACAATAAATGACCGGAAACTTGATAATAATTTACGTCCACTGCCACCAAATTTTTCAACTGGAAATTCGAATCTAAAAGGAATTGCGAACAAAGAAACGGCCCATAATTCTGGCATAATACCAAATTCGGAGGACAATGGATTCTTTTCATTGGGAATACAAACATCGACGACTGCCTCAAGATCATTTAGTCAAATTAATGAATTTCCAAGTTCTGTCAATAATAATAATAATAATAATTCGAGGCTAACGAATGAGAAAAAAACACAATTTCGATCGAGTCAAAATTATGATAATCAACCAGAAAATGCGTACGATTTTAATGCGCAAAATAATTATGGAACATTTTCCAATTATGAAATTACGAATCAATCGCAAACGAAAGAATATTAGTTTAGATTTTTTTTGTAGTTCTTAAATTAATTTTAATTAAATTAATAATTATGAAAAATTAATTTTAATTAAATTATTAATTATTAAAAATTCATTTTTTAATATTAATTAAGATTGATCAAATTAATTGTAGTTAATTTGTTAAAATTTTACTATATAAGTATTTAAATTATTTTAAGAAAGAATTTTTTTTAAGAATATTAATTAGATCTTTAATTAATTAATTTAGAGCATTAATCTAAATATTTCATTTTAATTAATTTTTTGTTCAACTAATTAAACTAAAAAAGGATTTTAATATTTTTTTTTTAAATTTAATTAGAGGCAAGAGAATAGCAGACTAAAAGTTGATTAAAATAAACGATTACTTTTCTATTATCAAATATTTATATCTATAAAATAAAATTTTTGTTATTAAAAATTGGTTCACATTAAATTTATTGTAATAAAAATGTAAAATTCAAAAAAAAATTTTAATAACTTATTAAATTTTTTGAACCAATTAAAATTATTGATTATTAAAACTTTTGAACCAATTAACAATTAAAATTATTAATAATTAAAATTTGTGAATTGAAATTTTTGTATAAATTAAAATTGACCAAAAATTTGATGTAAATAAAAATTATCTCATTCAAGTAAATATTAATTCGATAATAGATTATTATTTAATATAATAAATAGATTATTTAATAGAGTTGATAATCGTTTATTTGCGAACAAAATAAATTTTTTTGTTTGGTGCATAATAGAAAAAAATAAGCAAATAATTCTGCGGAAATAAATACTTTTTAAGTTATACGAAAACAAAAGAAAAATTAAAAGAAACGTTTATAATTCAAAGACTGAAAGAAAATTGTAACAATTTTTTTGTAGATATTTCATCTTTAGATTTAAATTATAAGAAAATATTATAATATAATTATTTATTGCATAAGAAATCGTAACATGATTGCCATATTTGAGGCTTTTTTCTTAGCAAAAAAATGAAATAAACATTTTGTATTTTTTTAAAACTGAATTATTGTTTTCCTAAATGAAAATTACTATCCAAAAAATATTTTTTCTTTCTTTTCTCAATATTTTTTAATATTTTTAAAAAAATATTTTTTTCGAAATAAACAATACAAAAATAATTTTTAATTTTTATTTTATAAAAACGTAGAAAATTTTTTTTTTTTATTAAAAATAAAAGTACTTTGATCTTTATTAAATAAATAAGGGATAAAAGAAAAAAATAAAAGAAAGAAAATAAAGAACAGAAAAAAGGAAATCTCTAAATTTGAATTAGTAAAATTGTTTACTAATTTTAGTGAATGATTTTTTTGCTTTTGAATTAGTAATTTTTACTAATAAATTAGTGTAAATTACTATTTACTAGTCAAATTTACTAATTCAAAAGCAAAAAGTCAGTTACTAATTCAAATTTAGAGAGAAAAAAGAAAGAAAATGACAAAAAAAAAGAAAGAAATAAAAGAAATCAAATAAAAAATAGTCAAAAATATCAAATTAATATTAATTTATATTACTGACCATTTTATTATTAAACAATTTAAAATTTTTAAATATTCGATTTTATTAATAAATAATAGATCGAAAATATTTTTATATTCATAAATAAATAAAATTTTGACAATACTAAATTTTCCTAAAGAGAAATTTTTTTTTTTTTTTTGCAAAAAAATGCAGAAAAAAAATTTGTATTCTTAGTTGAGAAGAAATTTTAGATGTAGAGGTGTTGGGTAAAAAAAAACGAATTCTTGGTATGAAGAGAAATAACGATGAGAAAGATGTTGGCTTAACTCAATTTGGCACGTCTTTTCCACTCGGTATTTTCACAGATTTAACGGAGGAAAGAAAATTTTTCTTCTTCGTTTATGAACTTTAGCGAAATAGGGACAACGTCATCTAATAAGTATATATATATATATATATATATATATATATTTACTTCAAGGGAATGGAATCATTAAGACCCTATTATGGGAATAGCACACTGAAAATTATTATTACGTGCTTCTCAAGTCGCTAAAGAAATTTTAAATTTCTACAATTATTTTAACTAGTAATTTAACAAACTTTTAAAAACACATTTTCTTCGTATATATATATATATATATATATATATATATATATATATATATATATATATATATATATATATATACATATATAAGAAAACATAAAAGTTCATCTTGAGGAAATATTTCAAAAGTCTACCATTACAAATCATATTAATTAAAACAAAGTACGTTCGAGTTATAAAGAATTTTCAAAAAATGGTAAACAATTTCCGGTAATTTTTTTTTTTTCAAAACTCGTCTCTAAACATAAACTATAATTATTTCACCTTTTTTAAATTTTTTTTTCTGTTCTTTATTTATTAGTAAAATATACGCGCTTTATTAATTAATTAATTATTTGTCATTTGTTTTGTTTCATTTATAATATTTTATGTAAATTTATTAATAGTTTCAATAATTTATAAGTATAAAATGTAAATTAATAATAATTTAAAAATGATAACCTATTTAAGAAAATAATTGGGGATAATTATAAAAAAAATTTTTTGAATATTTTATACACTGAAAAAAAAATTTGATTCAAACAACCAATTACTTGTCTGCTATCAAATAAATATTTAGTTGAATCGAATAATTTTTATTTAAATCAAAAAAAATTCTATTTGAATCAATAATTTCAGCATTTAAAGCAAATATGAATTTGAATCATTTAAATGACTCAATAAAAAATTATTTGATTCAAGTAAATATTTATTTTATAGACAAGTAATCGGTTATTTGAGTCAAATAAATTTTTTTCAGTGAAAGAATATTTATTAACTTACTTAATTACTTAATTAATTAAATTAAATTACTAACTAATTTGGTTAATTAGTTAATTTTTTTATTTACCTGTATGTATTTGTTTTTTTACTCTTTATTTACCTGTATTTATTTATTTTCACCTCTAATGATTTTATTTACTTTTTTATGTATAAGGTAAAAGTACCAATTATGGGACGCTGTTTAAGCTAAACTAAATTTCTATGATAAATTTCTTGGAATCGGGAGTGTTAATATGAATAATTAGGGTATAGATTGAAAGATTGATATGTTATGAATAATATTTAGACCCTAAAATGGTTATTTTTCATGAAATAAAAATAATATTAATTAAATTATGAAACTCTGCACTGCACTAATTATGGGACTATGATTTCTGTATGTACGGGTGTCCCATAATGAATGTTCCTATTATGAGACATTTATTTAATTCAATAAGTAATTAGAATTCTATTGACTTATCCTAATAATTTGAATATTAATTATAAAGAATAAAATACAATAAACAAATTCTGGTTTAAAAAATAATTATAAAACTAATTTTTCTGGTAGAAAATTAATGCGAAAAAACTGAAAATATTTGAGGTTATGTTTGCTGTATATTTCCTGTGTGTCTCATAATAGGGATAGCAAATAATAAGTGCACCTAATGTGGGACGGTAGTCTGACGAAAAACTTGGCTTACCTTAATTTGAAAGCTAAAATGCAAATAAACATTTCTTATTAAATTAAATGCTATACACAAATAATTATTCTTTTAACGTGTAAAATTTTTTGAAATAAGTAGAAATTTCTTATGACCAATTTTAATTGCATTTATTTTATTTTTTGTAATACTGTCTCATAATAGGGACAAAATTGTAAATTGTCCCATAATTGGGACCTTTACCTTATATATATATTTTATTGGGAATCAGCAATTACGCCCAAGGCGTTAAAATCCATTCCTTAAAATCAGGTCACGATTCGCAATGTCGATTTACGGAAAGATGCGTTCTTCTTATTTTTGCGCAATCACTGATTGAAGAAGAAATTCAGATCACTTTCGCTGGATTGCAATTCATCAGCGTGAATCCTTTATTTTTTTGGAAAGAGTCATGTCAAGGATGTTGTCTTGAGGTTTTTTTCGTATATAAAAGCCCTGAATTATACATTAACCATAGTATTTAATTCTCGATCGTCTTTCTTCACTGTGGACCCATTGGGAAAGAAAAATCTCTTTTTTCTTATTTTCAATTATACAAATTTAATTTTAATCATGGATTTTATCAGTTTTGCCCTTTTTATTGTTTCCGCGTTTAGTGTTTTCAAGGTACGTGAATTTATTTCTTACTTTTATCAATTTTTTTTTTATTTTTCAATTTTTTTTCTGTTCTGTTTACATTTACCTTAAATGACCCTAATTATAATGTTCAGGAATTTCGCAGGTCAGGAAATTCAGGAAAAAGTCAACGATTTTTATTTAAAGTACTGTAAAAAAAATTCAATTTTTACAATTCATAAGAAAATTCTAAATTTTATTTTTTTCTTTGTTTGCCTTATAAACTATATTAAATTACCCAGAATTCTAATAAAAAAACATTCAATTTATTCTATTTAAATTCTTCTGAAATCAGTTAAATTTTTTAATATATTTTTAATTAATTATTAAACATAATGGATTTATAGAAGAATTTTAATTAAACACACTAAAAAAATATTGAATTTTGAAGAAGTTACAAGTGATTGCAGAAATTCAATTATCTTCAAAAAATAAAAAGTAATAAAATTCTTCGCAAAAATTCAATATTAGGTTCAAAATTTAAAAAAAATTCTCGTCAAAATTTCAATTATCATTATAAATAATAAAAATCTTGTCCAAAATTCAATTACTTTCAAAAATTTTAATCAAATTCTTCTTAAAAATTTCAATTATTTTCAAAAATTTTCCTCAATTCGATGATTTTCAATATTTATTATTTTAATAAAATTTTCCAAAAGAATTAAATTATTTAAAATACAATTTTGATAAAATTATTCACAAAGATTCAATTACTTTTCCTAAATAATAAAAAATTCACAAAAATTTAATTATTTTCAAAAGTAATAAAATTCTTTGCAAACATTCAATTATGTTCAAAAATTTTTTTAAATTCTCGTCAAAATTTCAATTATCTTTATAAATAATAAAATTCTTGTACAAAATTTCAATTATTTTCAAAAATTTTCATCAATTCAATGATTTTCAATATTTATTATTTTAATAAAAATTTCCAAAAGAATTAAATTAACTAAAATACAATTATGATAAAATTATTCACAAAGATTCAATTACTTTTCATAAATAATAAAACATTCACATGAATTCAATTATTTACAAATTTTTTATAAATTGCTTCGCAATAATTCAATTATTTTCGTAAATAATAAAATCCTTTTTAAGAATTCAATTATTTTTAAAAGTAATAAAAATTTTCTCAAAAATACAATTATTAATATAAACTTTAATAACATTCTAAGCAAAATAACAATTATTTTCAATATCTATTATTTTAATAAAACTTTCCAAACAAATGCAATTATTTAAAAATAATTTTGAGAAAATTATTCGCAAAGATTCAATTATTTTTCCTAAATAATAAAACATTCACAAGAATTCAATTATTTTTGTAAATAATAAAATTCTTTTTAGGAATTCAATTACTTTCACAAATAATAAAACTCATCGTAGAATTTCAATTATTTTTAAAAATAACAAAACTCATCCTAGAAAATTATTCTTCAAAATTTTATTAAAATTCTTCAAAAGAATTCAATTACTGAAAAATTTGTTGATAAATTCTTTTATGAGAATTCAATTTTAAGAACCATTCAATTTTTCAATAAATTATTTATTTTTTCATTTAAATAATTGAATTCTTGTAGAATTTAGGATTTGGAAATTAATTTTAGTCAAAATTTTGGATAATAATTAAATATTGAAAGCGTGAATTTAAATTTTATAGCTTGAATTTTTAGAAATAATTGAATTTTGAAAAGGTTACAAATTAAAATCTTTGAAAATTTGAATTTTTCATACTTTTAGTTAACAATTTTGTGAATTTCTGCAATTATTTGTAATTTTTCCAAAATTGAATTTTTTTTAGTGTTTTCAACAAAAATTTTAATAAGAAAATTTTTAAATTCTATCAGTTTTAAAATTGATAATTTTATTTAAAAAAGGCAGTAAGTAGTATAAAATATAAATTAATAATAATTTAAAAATGATAACGTATTTAAGACAATAATTGAGGATAATTATAAAAAAATTTTTTTGAATATTTTATAGACTGAAAAAAATATTATTCAAATAGTCAATTAATTAATTGGCTATTTGAATAAAATTTTTTTTATTCTGCTATCAATTGAATATTTACTTGAATCAAATAATTTTTATTCTAGTTAATAAAATTGATTTGAATCAATAATTTCAGTATTTGAATCAAATCTGAATTTGAACCATTTAATTGACTCTAATAAATATTATTGGATTCAATTAAATATTTTATTGATAGTCAAGTAATCGATTATTTGAATCAAATAAATTTTTTCTAGTGTCAGAGTTAAAAGAGTTGTAACGTAAGAGTTAAAAATTTTTATTATAAAAGTTGAAAAAAATTGAATCAATCAAAAAGTAAGGAAATAACGAAAAATTGGAGAATTGAAAAATATCAATAATTAATGCCCTGACATTTAATATCTATACAGTTGTTGCGAAAGTAAATGCAAAAGGAAAAAAAAAGAATAATAATAAAAATTAATATATATTATGCATAACGCCCTTTAGGAATGTAGAACAGAGATCGTGGCGAGAATATAATATAATACTAAACGAGTCTGAACTTTCGTGCAATTTCCCTGTCACCTGCAACTTCGATGAAAGATAACTTTTTGACCTCCGCCATTCATTGGCAGTCTCCTATGTCTTTTACCTGTCCGAAGCCATTCATTAATCACATTTTGCATTCATCAGGCTCAAGAGGGCTATATCCTTGCAACGTCAAAGCAACATCATCAGAGGCAAAATTCAAAATCAACAATTACTAATAGTAATAGTAATAATCATAATAATAATAATAATAAGGAAAATTATTTGGCGAACTCTCGATATTATTCCCAAGAGGCTAATATCCTTGGAATTGCTGGCAAAGACTATCCAAATTTCCATACAATTCCGCAAACACAATTTGATTGCGATTCACAATTGTATCCGGGATATTATGCTGATCCTGAATCAAATTGTCAGATGTATCATATTTGTCAGCCGGGAGGACGAAAGGATTCATTTCTCTGTGCGAATGGAACGATTTTTAATCAGGAGAGACTCGTTTGTGAATGGTGGCATAATGTCGATTGCTCCCAAGCTAGAGGCAAATATTCCGTTAACGAAGCTATCATCAAGGAAATGGAGAAAGTTGATAGGTAATTGATAAATGTCTTATTAAATAATTTGCCACATTTGTTCTTTCATAAAATTTATTTTATTCAAATTTTTCCGAATTCCTTCTTGGCGCAGCAGTCACAATATTTTTCTCTGCTCTAATTTTCTTCAAATCGAATTTATATTCCGTAAAATTTTAATTTAATATCAAACAGTAATAATAGACAAATAAAAGTTTATTTGTACCAAATAGGTATTTTAGACACTCAGAGAAAAAGTTTATTTAATCAAAATATAATTTATTTGATTCAAATAAAAGTATATTTGTCTCAGATTCTACAAATTTTTTATTTGCTACAAATAAAAATTTTATCCCATACAAATAAAATATTTATTATTTGAGCCAAATAAAATTCAATTTTAATCAAATAAAATTTATTTGAATCAAATAAAATTCCATTTCAACCAAATAAAATTTATTACGAAACAAATAAAATTTATTCAAACCAAATAAAATTCAATTTGAACCAAATAGAATTTATTTGAACCGAATAAAATTTGTTTAAACCAAATGAAATTTAATTTGATTCAAATGGAATTTATTTGAAACGAATGGACTTTATTTGAATCAAGAAAAATTTATTTAAACCAAATAAAATTAATTTGAACCAAAGAAAATTTATTCGCACTAAATAAAATTTAATATGAACCAAATAGAATTTAATCGGAACCAAATAGAATTTAATTGAAACCAAATAGAATTTAATTGAAACCAAATAGAATTTAATTTGAACCAAATGGAATTTATGTCAACCGAATAAAATTCAATTTAAATCAATTAAAATTTATTTGAAACGAATAAAATTTAATTTGAACCAAATAAAATTTAGTTTGAACGAAATAAAATTTATTTGAACCCAATAAAGTATTTGAACCAAATAATATTTATTAGGAATAAATAGACAAAAATTAATTTTTTATTTAAATCAAATAAAATCTAAAACGAACCAAACAAAAATTATTTGGCCAAAATCAAAATTTAATTTGAACCTAATAAAATTTATTTTAAACCAAATAACATTTATTTAAAACAAATGAACACAAATAAAATTTTTATTTAAATCAAGCAAAATTAAAGTTGAACCATTAAAAATTATTTGGAGCGAATAAATTTTAGTATGAAGCAACTAAAATTTGTTTTGAACCGAAGAAAATTTATTCGAACCAAATAAAATTTAATATGAACCAAAAAGAATTTAATTTGAACCAAATAGAATTTATTTCAACAGAATAAAATTCAATTTGAATCAAATAAAATTTATTTGAAACACATGAACACAAATAAAATTTGTATTTAAATCAAATAAAATTTAATTTCAATCATAAAAAATTATTTAGACCAAATAAAATTTGTTTGAACCAAATGAATTGTTTTGAACCAAATGATACTTAATTTGATTTGAATGGAATTTATTTAAACCGAATGAACTTTATTTGAATCAAGGAAAATTTATTTAAACCAAATAAAATTAATTTGAGCCGAAGAAAATTTATACGAACAAAATCAAATTTAATATGAACCAAAAAGAATTTAATTTGAACCAAATAGAATTTATTTCAACCGAATAAAATTCAATTTGAATCAAATAAATATCTACTTGAATCAATTAAAGTATAATAATTAAATAAATATTTACTTGAAGCAAATAAATATAGAGCTGATCCATTTATTTTATTTTATTTGTTTATTTGAATTAAATAAATATGTAGTTGAACCAATTAAATGTTTACTTGAAACAAATAAATATTTACTTGAATCATAAAAGTATCATTTTATTCAATTAAATTGTATTTGAACCAGTAATTTTAGTATTTAAAGCAAATACCATTTAATCGATTGAGATTAAAAATTATTTGATTCAAGTAAATTTTTACTTAATAAAAAAAGTAATCGGTTATTTAAATCATATAAATTATTTTCAGTGTGAATTTTGAAACAGAAAATTCTCAATTTCAATATTTTTCTACTAATCAAATTTTCATAATGAAAATATTTTATTTAAATATTTTATATACTATTGTAAATATTTAACATTAAAAAAAAATTATTTGATTCAAATAACCGATTACTTGACTATCATTAAATAAATATTTACTTGAATCAAATAATTTTTATTTGAATCAAATAAATTTTTTTCAGAGTATTGGTATTATTTTGTTTAAATTTTTTTTTGTTTTTTTTTTGCAATATATACAATAATTTAAAATTTATTTTTGAATTAATTGTCATCATTACTATTGTTAATAACATTCGCGATAATTATATAGTAAAGAAAGTCAACTTTTTCAGATTGAACGCGGAGAGAAAAGCGACTCAGGCTTTTGAAGTGAATGATAAGATTTTTCAAATTCGGGGCGAAATTCACGATGCTCAACAACCACCGCAAGGATATAGGATTAAAATGCAAATTTTAAGAAAATAAAAAATAAATTTCCAGTCGAATCGAAGATGTTCACACTTTTATGTAAATCAAATGACACTCAAGGATATAATTTACACCCAGTAAAAAGATATATTTGACTCAGAGCCAAATAGTCTTTTTATTTGTTTCAAATAAATTTTATTTAGTTCAAATAAAAGTTTTATTTATGCCGAATAAAATTTTTACATGAAACAAATAATAAATAATTTTACTCTCCGGCAAAAGTACTCAAATTTTACTTAAAAATTAATTATATTTGGTTTAAAGAAAATTTTTTCTTGTTGCACCGTATTCAATTATCAAAATTTATATAACATACACACGTATATATTGTGTATGTATTTAAAAATATGAATATGAATTAAATATATACGTATATGTATTAGAAATTTTATCAATCGTCTCGAGGCTAGTCAGTACTCTTTGATATCATTATTATGAAAAATCTTATCAACAGTTCATTTCATCAATAATATTACATTAGTTTAACCGTACAGTTTATGTTTACAAAATCACAATGAAAAATTATCCTTGTAATAGCTCGTTCGTAGCAAATATTTTCCGATAATAAACACAATATTTCTACTTAAGTTTACTTGTACCAAGCGAAGAGGAACTCGCGAGTGGATTTATTTTCAAAAATTTATTTGGTAATTCTAAATTTCCTTTTTTCCTTGCAGGAGAAAATATAATCTCTCTTTCAAGAATGAGAAAAATTTTTTTATTAGTTTTAAAATCTGTTAGACAAATTTGACAATAAATTTTGAAAATTTGTATAATTTTTTATTTAAATCAAATAAAATCTAAAACGAACCAAACAAAAATTATTTGGACAAAATCAAAATTTAATATGAACCTAATAAAATTTATTTTGAACAAATAAATAACATTTATTTAAAACAAATGAACACGAATAAAATTTTTATTTAAATTAAGTAAAATTAAATTTGAACCAAATGAAATTTAATTTAAATCAAATAAAACTTATTTGAACCAAATAAGATTTATTTGAACCAAATAAAATTTCATTTGTACCAAATAAAATTTAATTTGAACGATTAAAAATTATTTGAACCAAACAAAGTTTAAATATGAACCAAATAGAATTTATTTGAATCAAACAGAATTTATTTAAATCAAATAAAATTTAATTTGAATTGAATAAAATTTATTTGAACCGAATAAAATTTAATTTGAATCAAATAAAATTTATTTTGAACGAAATAAAATTTATTTGAACTGAATAAAGTTTAATTTGAACCAAATAATATTTATTTGGAATAAATGGACAAAAATCTACTTTTTAATTTAAATCAAATAAAATCTAAAACGAACCAATAAACTAAAATTATTTGGACCAAATCAAAATTTAATTTCAACCTAAGAAAATTTATTTTCGAACCAAATAACATTTATTTAAAACAAATGAACACAAATAAAATTTTTATTCAAATTAAGTAAAATGAAATTTGAACCATTAAAAAATATTAGCAGCAAATAGATTTTAGTATGATCTAAATAAAATTTGTTTTGTACCACCTAAAATTTATATGAATCAAATAAAATTTGTTTGAACCTAATGAAATTTAATTTGAACCAAATGAAATTTAATTTGAATCAAATAAAATTTATTTGAATCAAATAAAATTTTATTTATACCAAATAAAATTTTATTTGAACCATTAAAAATTATTTGGACCAAATAAAGTTTAAATATGAACCAAATAAAATTTATTTGAAACAAATGGACATAAATAATATTTCATTTGAACCAAATAAAATATAATTTGAACCATTAAAAATTATTTGGACCAAATAATGTTTAATATGAACCAAATAAAATATCATTTGAACCATTAAAAATTATTTGGACCACAATAAAGTTTAATATGAACCAAATAAAATTTCATGTGAACCATTACAAATGATTTGGACCTAATAAAGTATTATATCGACCAAATAAAATTTTTTTAGTATACTAAATAAACAGTGTAGTAGGTTTTGAGTAAAATATTTATTTTTTATGAACGTGCTTCTTTTAAGACTTGAAAAATTTAAAATTAAACAATAAAATACAAGTACATTCCAAAGGGGAAGTAAAAATCTTCTTTGAGAATTTTTGCAGTGATACGAATTTAATTTAAATTTCGTAATAAATAAGAAGAAAATGATGAGAAAATACGAAAATTCCGTTCGATGAAAAAAATTTCCAATAAACACTGAAAAGAAAAGCAATAACTAAACAATTTAAAAAGGAATAAAAATTTGGAGTATAAATTTAAAAGAGAAGAATTAAAACCAAAAAAAATACCAAAGAAAAAATGTAAAATAAAACAAAATCGAGTAATGAAATTCCATTGTTAAAATTTCGCGAATAAAAAAAGAAAAAAAAAGAAGAAATTCGAATGAATGCCCGGAACGAAATATAAATTCGTTTGAAGATCAATTTTATGACTTACCAATTTAAAAAAATTAACGTGAATCCCAAGCCATAAATTTGTCCTCAATTGTATTGTATTAGATTAATTGACTTAAGGCACCGCATATTATATACTCGAGAAAGAAGAACTATCTGCGAAGGTTGTTGCGATTAGTGTCCTTGTCAGTGGTTTCCTATAGGACACTTGGACTTCCTTGATCTGACGTTAAGCGACTTTTATTTACACACATATATATAGATAGAGAGAGAGAGAGAGAGAAACCCATTTATAAACGTATATAAATACATACATATATATAATAATAAAACAAGTAATTATTGAAGATGGCCAGCAAACAGAAAACATGTCACATGTAAAATCAAAGAATTCCCCATTGTATTGTTACTTACCTTGCACCATCCGAACTCTTTAAGGAGCGGCTGCATTGTGCGTAACACTACTCGTAATTTATAACGCTCAATGTATTTATCTGGCCCGTGATTTGCCGTTTAATATCGCAATCGCAATAGTTTATCAGAATAGTTCGTTGCTGGCCTAGGACAAGTGCACTACACAGAAATGAGGGGCAAATCTATCACAGGTAAGAGAGACACACTCTTAAAAATTTATCAATAGAATTCTCATTTTCTCCACTTCTCACTCTTTCACTTTTCTATTTTCCCCAAAAAATCTATTTGTAAAATTTAAAAAAAAAATATTTAATTTCTTTTTTGTTTATAAAAATAATAAATCAAAACAATTTCTAACCAATTTTTTTCCCGATTCAAAAATTTAGTTTTTCAAACAATTTTTCCCTCAACTTGAGAGAAAATTTCATCTTTTTTCCACATTTAATTCAAAGACACCCGTTTTAAAATCAAATGGCATTATCATAAAATATTTATTCATTTCTCATCTATTTCCAGTATTTTTAACAAGATTATCCTAATCAGTTGAATATAGTCTGACTCTCCGGTCATATACAAGTTATTGTCATTTATTACGCCGCATATTAATTTTAAATAAAATTAGTTCATTATTTAAAGACGAGAGGAAATTTAACTAAAAATAGATGTACATCTTTTTTTCGGATATTATAGTGCCTTTTTCAATTAATTATCAGAAAATATTTTTTCTTTTATTGAAATATTTTTCTGAAATCAATTTTTCCTGTTGACATGTTTTGCGAAATAAATGTTTCCTTGAAATTATTTTCTCTTAATACTGCAGTGGTGAAAATAATGAAAATAATGATTTTTTTCTTCAGTTGAAAATTATTTTATCAAATTAAATTTTCCGTTTTGAATTATTCTATACACAGTGTTTATTATTAAAGTGTTATTACTACAGTGTTGTTGTTATTATTATAATATTATTAGATCATTGTTATACAACGTGATTGTGCTTTATGTAGAATTTATAAACAAGTGAAATTTTATGTATTGGAAGGACAAATCCATATAACGAAGTGTGATTTTTAAAATTGACAAGTGAAGAATTAATAGAAAATTATTTTTTCCTGTCAAATTAAATACCGTATTTTATCATTTTTATCTGAAACAAAAAAAACTAATAACTTTTTTGCTTATATATAAATAATATTAATAATAATAAGTATAATACACATTTTATTTTAACATACTAAAATTTATTTTCAGTTAAATAAAAGTATATTTTTGTCTCAGGCTCAACTATTTATTTGTTTTAAATAAAAATTTTATTCAACATAAATAAAACTCTTAACTGAACCAAATAAATTTTAATTTTAATCAAATATAATTTATTTAAAACAAACAAAAATTATAGTCGCGGCTCTGTGTCAAATATATTTTTCTGGGTTTAATAATATTATTCTTATTTTACTTACAAATAAATATTACAATATTAAAAAAAATAATTCTACAATAAATAATAATACTAAAATAATAAAAATATGCAATAGGTTATTCAATTTAATAATAAATAATTCCCGACACGTGTGAAATGACTTTAAAATTTAATAATAATGACATAATAATAATATTTACGAAAGACATAAGTTGAAAATAATTTGAATGTACACAAATAGTGAAAATAGTAATTAAACGAGTCATTAGAGTGAAATTTAAAAATTTCATATATAATTAACTAAAAAAAGGCATTTATAGATAAATCGATAATTGAGTGAAAATTGTTTTGCGTATCATTGTTTCGACAGAAATATAAACAATCGTAATGACAACATTGTGAGTTTTCTTATCTTTCGAAAAAATCATTATTTTACATGTTAGGCATATATTAAAATATTTATCAAACTATTTTTTCCAATTTTTCTATAAATAAATTACGCAGTTACTTTCCTTCATTAAAATTGAAATTTTCCGAATTAAAAAATTTTCTTTACAATTGACTAATAAAATGAAAATAATAGAAATTAATAAGAAACTTTTGTTATTATTTTATTACGCGTGTCGAAAACTGAAAAAAGAGAAAGAAAGTGATTAACAATCTTCTATATTGCGATTGTTATCAAATAAATATTTACTTGCAGCAAATATTTTCTAGCAAATATTTTTTTCCGATAAATTAATAATAAAATGGTTGTAGCAAAAAAAATAATAATCTTAATTGTTATAAATTTAGTTACGAGGCATAAATAACAAAAAAATAATATTAATTTGAAATTGACAAACAGAGAAAATTTCTTTTCAACCAAACAATTTATTTGAATTAAATAAAAGTATATATTTGTCTCAGAGCCCAAATTATTTATTTCTTCTAAAGAAAATTTTTATTTGAATCAAATTTGATTTTATTTGAACGGGATAAAATTTAATTGAACCGAATAAAACTTATTCGAATAGATAAAAATTTATTCGAATCGAATAATAATCAATTGGAACCGAATAAAAATTTATTCGAACCGAATAAAAATTAGTTTGAACAGAATAAAAATTAATTTGAACCGAATAAAATTTATTCGAACAGATAAAAATTTATTCGAATCGATAAAAATTTATTCGAATCGAATAATAATCAATTGGAACCGAATAAAAATTTATTCGAACCGAATAAAAATTAGTTTGAACAGTATAAAAATTAATTTGAACCGAATAGAATTTATTCGATTAAAATAAAATTTAATTTGTATCTAATTAAAAGTTCATTTGGCTCTGAGTCAAATAAATCTTTTTTTCTGGGTGTTGATAGAAAATAAATAGTAAATAGTAGACAGTATTTTAGTTAATGTTGCATGAGGAAATAATGGCTTAAAAACAAAATTGTATATTGTTTATAACTGTAGTTTATATTGCGCACACAATTTAATCTAATTTAATGAGCAATTTGAAAAGTGAAGAATCAATACGTTTCTGATATGACCATTTATGCAACATGCACTATCTTAACTGTTATAGTTGATTTACTCATAGAAAGACCTTGATATAAGTCATAAGGCCATTGCCAATGGGCATAATATCAATAATTTTTTTTCTTCAATCACCATCATAATCATCATCATCTCCTTTCATTTTTCTCTACACTCAATCCAATAAAATATTTGAAAAATTTTGAAAATCATGTACCAAAAAAATTTTATTTAGTTAATTAATATTATTACTATTATTATTATTATTATTATTATTATTATTATTATTATTATTATTATTATTATTATTATTATTATTATTATTATCATTATCATTATCATTTTAAAATTTTAATATTTTAATTTTTTAATTTTTTAATTTTTTAATTTTTTAATTTTTATTATTATTATTTTATTTATTTTTTATTAAATTTATTTTACTATCCTACTTATTCAGAAATATTTCGCTAATTGCGTATCTGGTCCCAGTCAAAAAAATTATATAGAATTTCACTGCAACAGTTTAATAAAATTTCTACATAAATTCTACTCAATATTAGGTAGAAATTTACACAATTTTTTTATAGATATTAATTATACATTATTAATTTTTATTGTATTATTATTTTAATTATTATATTATTAACATAAATGATTAAAAATATATTAATACCAATAATATATAATTAATTAATATGGTGAAAAAAAATTTATTTGATTCAAATAACCGATTTACTTGTTTATTATCAAATAAATATTTCCTTGAATTAAATAAATTTTTAATTGAACCAAATAAATTTTTACTAGAAATAAATAAATTTTTACTTGAATCAAATAAATTTTTACTTGAACCAATTAAATTTTTAATTGAACCAAATAAATAGCTACTTGAACCGAATAAATATTTACTTGAATCAAAGAAATCTTTATTTGAACCAAATTAATAGTAACTTGAACCGAATAAATATTTACTTGAATTAAAGAAATTATTATTTAAATCAAATAAATGGTATATTTGAACCAATAATTTCAGTATTTGAAGCAAATAACATTTAATTGGTTTAAATAAAAATGATTTGATTCAATCAATAAAAATTGATTTTCTAATAGACAAGAAATCACAAGAAAAAATTTATTTGATTCATCAAATAAATTTTTTTCAGTGTAGTAAAATTCTATAGAACTTTTCCCACTGGGACAATACAATTAATAATGGTTTTTTTTATTATTATTAATATAATAATAATTCGTTATAAAAATTAGTCAACAGGTACGTAAATAGTTAGAGAATTAAAATTCCTCGCATAAAGTCCATTTCACGCTACTTAACTTACAATGAATGAGCTTCGTAATTAGTAAGAGACGGTTTCCTTGGTGTTGCAGACCTGACGCAAGAGTATTTGCCGTATATAATAGAAAATAAAGAAAACATTGAGAATCTTCAGATTCTTGACGCAAAAGAGATACCTGGATGCCGAGATGGTGACAATTTTATGTCAGTTGTCATTAGAACACAACTCAAAGGGATCTTCAAAAACGGAAATCGTTAGTCATCACAATTTTTTACTGTCTCAATTAATATTTTATTCAGTGCTTTATTAACTTTATTAATTTTATTAATTACTTTAAAAACTTTATTAATTTTATTAACTTTTTTAATTTTATTAACTTTATTAATTTAATTAACGTCATTAACTTTATTAATTAATTTACACTGAAAAAAAATTTATTTGTATCGTCAAATTTATATATTATAATAATTATTTATTTATATTTACTTTATTCAATTTTTCTTTTTTGCTTTATTTTTCTTTGCAGTTTTTTAAAAATTTTCCAAAGTTCTAAATTAAAAATTACAAAGTTTTAACTTATATAAAATTTAAATTCAAAATTTTAATAGGAAATAAAAATTTTTCCGCAGCTTTTGAGAAATCGGTGATAACAAAAATATATCCCAGTGGCAGTGATAAATTTGTCACATTAGTCAGAATGAGAGATCTCTTTTGTAATGAAGCACACTCATATGAAAATATTCTGCCTGCAATTGGAGCCCAATCATTAGCGCCGGAATGTTTTTTTGCCAATTCAGAGAAAATTATTTTAGAAGATTTATCTCTTGATAATTTTTCCATTTGTGATAGACAACATTTATTAAATTACGATCACTGTCGGCACGTACTACAGGTAATTTTTCCAATCATTGCAAAATTTATTTCTAATTTTCTAAAATTTATTTTTCTTTTCAAAATTTATTACCTATTTTATGAAACAAAAAAAAGCATATTAACTAATATTATAACTAATATTATCAAATAATAATTAATCAAAATAAAAAAACCATTTTTTTTCCAGGCCCTAGCTCAAATTCACGCCGGTTCATTGAAACTGAAACTCAACAATCCCGAGTACTTCAGAAATTTAATAAAACCAATAACAGAAGTGGTATTCGCTGAAAAATCAAATATCCAAACAAAATTATCCCTCGAGAGAAGTTTAAATCACGCAATTCAAAGTTTAGAAACAATTCAACCGCCAACGGCGAACAGTGAAAAGTGTCTCAAGTTCCTAAAGAAATATCCAAATAAAGTTTATGAAATTGTCAAGGCCTCAACAATAGCCCACGGTTCATATGACGTTCTAATTCATGGCGATGTTTGGAAGAATAATATCTTCTTCTCGAAAAATAATCCAAACGATAATAATATGAGAGTGAAATTTGTCGATTTTCAAGCAATGAGACACGCCTCATTGGCATTGGATTTACACTATTTTTTATATACGAGCGTTGAATTAAATGTTTTCGATAATCATTACAATGATATTATGCAAATTTATCATCGTGAATTACTCAATGAACTTAAATCGTCAATAACAATGGAGCATTACGAGGCGCTTAATTACAATTGGTTTGCGCGTGAAATTGAAAAACATGCGGCATACGGTCTATTTTTTGCCCTAAGTTTAGTGCACGTCATATTGGCCGATGATGGAACAATAAAAATTAGTGTCTCCGAAAATGGTCAAGAACTGAATACAAAAGTACCTTTTTCAACGCAAAAAACGAAAAGAATAGAAAGAATTGTCACGCATTTTATTAACACCTTTGGTGATATTGATTAGTAGCAAACATCAACAATTTTTTTTTTTTTTTAATGAAAAATGGCTAGTCAATTTTTTTTATCAATCATTATAATTATTTCGACAATTCGTTTTTAAATTTATGTATAAATGTATTCGACATCGGGGGAAAATTTTTTTTAATTTAAGAATTTGATCGCCTTGACATGCACTGAAAATAAAATTTAATCGATTACTTGTCGATTATCAAATAAATATTTACTTAATTCAAATAAATATTTACTTGAATCAATGAAAATATAATATTAAAAGAAATATTTACTTGAAGCATATAAATACTTAGTTGAAGCAAATAAATATTTACTTGATACAATTAAATGTTTACTTGAATCAAATAAATATTTAGTTGAACCAATTAAATATTTACTTGAATCAAGTAAATATTTACTTGAATCAAATAAATATTTACTTGAATCAAATAAGTTCTATTTTAATCAACTAAATTGTATTTGAACCAGTAATTTCAGTATTTAAAGCAAAAGCCAAAAATTATTTGATTCAAGTAAATATTTACCTATTAAAAAAAAGTAATCGGTTATTTGCATTGAATAAATTTTTTTTCAGTGTGAATTTTGAAACAAAAAATTCTCAATTTCAGTATTTTTCTACTAATCAAATTTTCAGAATGAAAATATTTTATTTAAATATTTTACATACTATTGGAAATATTTAACATTGAAAAAAAAATTATTTGATTCAAATAACCAATTACTTGACTATTATCAAATAAATATTTACTTGAATCAAATAATTTTTATTTGAGTCAATTAAATGGTTCAATTCATATTTGCTTTACATGCTAAAATTATTGATTCAAATAGAATTTTTTTGATTTAACTAAAATTTATTTGATTCAAGTAAATATTTATTTGATAATAGCCAAGTAATCGGTTATTTAAATCAAATAAATTTTTTTTCAGAGTATTGGAAATATTTTGTTTCAATTTTTTGATTATTGAAAATATTTTTTACGGGAATATTTACATTAATTTAGAATTTTGGAGTAATTGGAGAAATTGGAGATACATTTGAAAATATTAAAATTAATGTCTAGGAACTTATTCTGAATTTCAGAAAATTTGCTTTCGGTGTTGGAGGTGATGAATGAAGTGTGTAAAATTTTAATTCATTTAATTGATATTTCTTTTTTAATGCGATTTTATTTCAGTTTTGAATGTTTGTAGAGCAACTATTTTTTTAATCTTGTATTTGTAAAAACTTTTTTTTAAAAATTGTATCGAGTCATTTTAGAATTGTTTTTTTAATTACTTCGAGATTAAAACTAAATTGAGATTTTTTAAAATACCGTAAATTTTTTTTTTAAAGCAATAATATTTTTAAAGCAATAATTTTTTTAAAACAATAATTTTTTTAAAGTAATAAATTTTTTAAAGTAACAATTTTTTAAGTTAATAATTTTTTTAAGGTAATAATTTTTTTAAAAATCATGTTGCGAGATTTTGTAAGATTAGAAGATATTTTAAAACATTTTGTAAGAGTGGAAGTTTTTTTTTTAAAAATGCATTGAGATTTGTAAGATTGTATTTAGTTCTGTAAAACAATTTTGTCTTGTCCTGTATTTAGTTCCATGAAATTGTATTTAGTTCTATAAAATTGTACCTAGTTCCATAAGATTGTACTTAGTTTTATAAGTTTATATAAGTTTCATGTAATTTTGTAAAGAAAAATTCGTAAGATTCCGTCAACATAATCATTTTTTTAATTAAAAAATTTTTTTGTCAGTCTAAATGAATTAGTTTTTATGTAAAATCGAATTTCGTTTTAAATTTTTTAGTTTCTCCTGCGTTAGATTTTACAAAAACACCGAAAAAAAAAATTCTAAAAAGAAACCATTGAATACATTTATTAATAGAATAAAAAAAAAAAAAATATTTCAATCCAAAATCGAGTCAATCAAATAATTTTTATTTTTAGAACAAAATTTTTCGGTGTTTAAATTTTTAATGTGAATGTTAATTGAACGAATGTAAATTTTACCAAAGACAATACCTCATCGCATTTATATTATAAGAAAAAAAACGAAAAGTACAAATATTATATAATACATTTAGATTTATGTAAGTTATAGTTATAAGAAAAATCAGTGTTTTGTTATTAAATAAAAACAAAAAAAACACAAAAAAAGAAACTCATTAAAGAGAAATTGACAATGATTCCCGCGTATATATGTTCAATCGCAAGTTATTTATTGTGGAATCTGTATAATAATTATGTAACAAAAATGTCTTGTAAATATTTTTTTTTGCAAAAAATATGTAGAAAAAAATAAAATTGTGGTGTAAAAATAAGTACAATAAAAAAATGAACTTAATACAAAATGGACAATTCACACGTTTTTTGCATGAAAATTTTATTGAAAGCAATATTTTCTCATTCTAACATTATGGAGAAGAAAAATGTGCGTGCATAAGTACTTATATACCTGCAGTCTAAGACAAATATTTACATACTTTCGCGTTTCATCTATCAACACCATTATACCACCAACATAATGTAAAAATATTATCAAAACACTTTTTCTTTATACTACACTGTAAATGTTGGAAACATTTTCAACTTAATATTTCATTACAAGTTGAAATCGAGTTTTTTTTTAAAAATTATTTTAAAAAATACTCCTTTTATTACTGTTACTAATATTAATCTTAATAAATATTTTTTTCTACTAAAAAAGAATAATTTAAGATTTTTTTGGTTAATAATAATAAACAGTAAAAATTAATAATAATATTAATAAGTAAAAATAAATAATAATAAATAATAATAATAAATAATAATAATAATAATAAATAAAAATAAATAATAATAATTAATAAACAGTAAAAATTAATAATAATATTAATAATAATAATAAAAAATTAAGATGAATAATAATAATAATAATAATAATTGTTAAGAACAATTATTAATTATTATTCAAGAAATGTAGAAAAGAAAAAAAAATCCAACAAGGAAGAAGTGTGCGCAACAAGTTGGGAAGCGTAAAGTTTCATTTGACTTTAGGTATAAAATAATTCACCGCGTTCTTTTCGATCAGTGACTTTCGATCTATAAGATCTATGCATTCACGTAATCGAACTTTGAATCAAAACGAATTCGTTTGCCCTCTGCTGTAACAGGAGAGATGGCTCATGAGAAAATAAATCCGTTTAGAAAACGCCCGCACACTTAAAGCTATCTCTTCTTTTTTTTTTCTTTTCTCCACTTCGTTTTTTCTTTTTTTTTACTATCCCCCTTATTCTTTATGCACTATTCTTTTGTTCCATTTATTTTGCATAACGAATATAAATGTGTTTCTGAGCTTAGAAGAGAGAAGCATACTCGTGTGGAGAAACGTGATATATTCTAAAACGGAAGTCCGTGATTTCAAACTCGAGAACATCGTGTATGACAATGCGATTTTTAATTTTCATAAATTTATTAATGTCCCCTCGTGTCGTTTATATGCAAAAAAAAAAAAAAAAAAAAATTCCAATACTAAATTTTATTTCGACAAAAGGGAAATTTTGTTACTTTTCTGTATGAATATAGAAATAATAAGGAATAAATAAATATAAATAATAAAAAATTAAAAAATATAAATATTAAACAATAAAAATATATAAAGAATAAATAGAAAAAAATAGAAATAATAAACAAGAAAAAAATGGAAATAATAAACAATAACAAATTAACTATAATAATCGTCTTATTCTTTCTTTCATTCTGTCCACAGTTTGAAGTTAGTTTTTGTGTATGCTTTTGTTTTTTGGTTTTTTGGTTTTTCTTTAAAAAATATTGTTTGACAGATCGAAAAAATGCAGGTATTTTTTCATAATTTATAATAAAACAATATTTGAAATTAGAAAAATATAAAAATAATTTATACCTATTTCTCAATAACAATATTGTTCAGAAACTCATTCTTTTATTTTAGAAAATAAACATTAAATATTCTATTCTATTTATCAATTACAAATTTTAATTGAAAATGAAATTAAAACTTTTTAAATTTTTAGAAAATAAAGGAAAACATTCTACTCAAAAAAAATATTCTGTTACATTTATTTACGAATTTATTTAATTGTAAAATTATTCGAAAACATCAATAACATTTTTTTTAAATAAATATTTAATCAATATCATTTTTTCATAGAAATTAAGAATTTCAAATTCATATATTTTTAAATTCAATAACTTATAAGAATGATTTATAATAATTAAAAATGACCGAGTGATAAAATCATTGTTTTATATTATAAGAATATTATTACAGTAACATTTTCAAAATTATATTCATAATTTCAAATCAATTATTATTTTCTACAATTTTGAATTATTTTTTACGAAAATAATTGAATTCCTTAAAAAAAATTTTATTATTTATAAAAATAATTGAATTATTGCGAAGAAATTTATAAAAAATTTGTAAATAATTGAATTCCTGAGAAATTTTTATTATTTATGAAAATAATATGAAATGTTTGCTTACTATTTTTGGGAATTTGATATTGATTTGAAAAAAATTGAACTTTGGTGAAGAATTTTGTTATTTATAAAGATAATTGGGATTTTGACGAGAATTTTTTTTCAATTTAAAAGATAATTGAATTTTATGAGAAGAAATTTATCACTTTTAATAATAATTAAATCTCTGCAATTATTATTTGTAATTTTTTCAAAATTGGATTTTTTAGTGTTTTGAACAAAAATTTGAATTACAAATTTTTAAATTCTATTTTTTTTAAAATTTTTAATTGTATCTTAAAAGAGTTATCTAAAAAGTTGCTAGTGGAAATAATAAACAAGAAAAAAATAGAAAAAATGAATAGAAAAAAAAATTGAAATAATAAACAAGAAAAAATAAAAATAATAAACAAGAAAAAAATAAAAATAATGAACAAGAAAAAAAATAAATAATAAAGAATGAAAAAAATAAAAAAAAAATTAACAATATAAATAAAAAACATTTTTTTTCATAACTTTACTAAATAACGATAAAAATGTGAAATAAATGAATTTCTTTAT